TTTACAGTCAAAATTCATTAAATGACAGTTTATTACTGTTGATAATTTGCATTTAAACTATAAAAAAAATGAGAAAAAAACTCTCAGAATAAAAAAATATAAATAATCTGTAAAAAAAACTATAATTTCTCGCTCCATAATTATTACAAGTTATTAGTGTCATTGGACAGATTTTAACTGTAATAATACAGGTAATTACTGCCATTTTACAAATTATTACTGCAATTATACATATTATTACTGTAATTTTACAAATCATAACTGTAAACATATACTTTATTATTGTATTTATACTGATTAATTAATGTGATCATAATGATTATCACTGTAATTATACAGATTAATAATTGTGATTATACAGATTAATTTGTGTAATTATGCACAAAATCTAAATATTGCAGAAAATTTTCCACTTTCAACATACCTTTAAAACAGAAAAAAAGCTTTTAAAGAACGAATAAAAAAAGCTTAAGTACAAATAATTGCTGTTGTCATTAAACACTAACACATCTTTTTAGGATAGATTAACTTCAAAACAATTTGCTTGAAAAAAGGACGCCTGGAAAGCAAAGTTGAGGATCAAATGGCAGTATAGTAATAGTTTTTAAAGAGAATCATCTTGCAATTAAAGGTTGAAACAGAAACTAACAAGTGCATACAAATAATCTCATGCATAAAGGCGGGAAACAAAGCAAGGCAAGGGGTCAAACATGACAAGGGAAAACCCGTTGGAATGCTCACTAAGGCAGCAGAAATGTGTGTGCTGAGTTTATAGTCCTTGTAATCAGTCCATGATGTTCTGGCTGAGTATGTAATCAATGAGAATTAGGAACCTGGGTGTGCGAGGTGCACGCTGAGAGTTGTAGTTTGTTAACATAGCATGTGTGTAGTGATCGTAACAGTTAGCATAGCAACATTGTTAGAAACTGATTAGTTTTTTTTTAACAATAACCCGTTGTTCCATAAAGAGTTTATAGAATAACAGCTATTCAGAGCCATTTATATACTATGCATCACAAAAAACTAAACTCATAATAAAATAAAACATTGAAACAAAAAGGTCAAACTTTAGTGCAGTTTGAGTCCAACCAATAAAAAAATTAAGTTGTCCCAGCACCCAGAGGAAACCCACGGGAACGCAGGGAGTACATTCAAACTCCACACAGAAATGCCAACTGACCCAGCCAAGGCTCTGTAGGGTCCAGCCAGTTGGTCCAATGACGGTATCCAATGGTGGATGAAGGTTCACTGCATGTTCGGTCTTTCCAGTGCACAATGTTGATTTATATTAAACTTAACTCATATCTGACTCCAATTTTAGTATGAGATGGTTTAGAATATTAATATGTTTATCCTCGTTTTATCTGACTCCAATTATAAAACATTGATAAGATTATTTTGTTTCCTTTCACATTATTTTAGATTATGATTGAATATTCTTTTGATTTGTTATTATACCTTATTCTCATTTACTCAGATTCCGATAGCATCTCGAGTCTTGCACCGGCCGGGTATACAATCTCTTACTACAAGCTTGTCAGTCTTGGTCATTAAACAGAGGCGATTAACCACTCCCCTAAAAAGGCAGAACACTACTTACTCAATTTAGGAGATTTTTATGTGGTCCCCATGGATCTGTTATCTACTTAATCAAGACAAAGTATTTTAATAATAATCGCGCAGGATTATACTATTGTAGATGAAGGCCTAAATATCCTCATTTAAAGTAGTTTCAACAATATTTTGTTGTTCTAAATAGTTGGCCTTTTACAGTCCAAGTATACATGAATAAATGCCAATTTGTTTGTCGGATCTCTAACAACATTGAATAGCGTGCCACGCTGCTCCGTCTAACATGTTTTAGTCCGTTACTAACCTGTACAGTGGCTTGTAGTGCTATGGACAACAACATTTATCAGTGATAATAACACGAACTCTGTTTGAATCATTCAAAACATAACAATTTATTAGTCAGGTAAATGTATTATGCCAATTCAATCAGTCAATTCATAAATGATCAATACAAAACATCAAATTATCAAAGATAAATCCAAGATGAAAAAGATGCATTCCTGACTTTGAAATATACATAACATGGAGCTAGCCATGTTATGGGCTGATCTGGTTAGGCAGAATCGCCCTGAGTTTTTCTTAGACCTTACCTTAAATAATCCAAGAATTCCCTCAAGGAAGGGGGTGTGAACAAAAGGCATTCACACTTAGTGGCACACCCCTCTCAGTGGTTCAAAAGATGCCTGAAGTTATATATTTATTGTTCTGATTATGTCTATTTCTGAGAGAATGAGACCATTGTACCAATCGCACTGAGACATTTCAAATGATATCAAACATGATAATTAAAGTCAGTTTGGTTAATCTAAAACATTCAAACATTGAAATGACCATATGCGTGAGTTGGGGGGATGAAGCTGAGTCTCAGCATAGTCAGATGCAAATGCAGCAGGAACTGGTTTTTCCCGCATTCCTCCCTGGTGGGTTGTGAAGTCACCAGTCTCTGTTTTCAGCTCATGTTTTGAATTGTCAAAGATATCAGAATATTTGTAATATTTCAATTCTTACAGCTCGAACCAGCGATCCTCTTGCTGTGAGGCGACAGCACTACCTACTGCGCCACTGTGTCACTACACACACGCACGCACGCACACACGCACACACGCACGCACACACACACACACACACGCACACACACACACACACACACACACACACACACACACACACACACACACACACACACACACACACACACACACACACACACACACACACAAACATACATACATACATATATATATATATATATATATATATATATATATATATATATATATATATATATATATATATATATATATATAGTAAAATAAAGTTTTATAGTTTACAATGCATGTATTATATTATATACATCATTAACCTCACTTTAATCTTCATATGATTACTATCTTCAATAGTACTAAAAACAATTTGACTGAATTTTTGTTTCCCTATTTTTACAGGAATAATCTGTAAATATTAACATAAAATTAAGTTTTAATATCTGAAAATACTGAAAATTTCCTTTAAAAACAACAGAAAAAAACGTAATACCAAAATCGAAGAAATAACTAAATTTTATGTAGAATTTTTATTTATTACAGAACATATCTGTAAAATAACAGGTATTTCACTGTATAATGAAAAGAACTGTATAAAAAAATGCAGACAATTACCTGTAAAATAATGTTTATTTTTTTACAGTGCAGCATCAGTACACTGCTTCAATCTTTGGCTTTCTCGCTTGTACTTAGTAATTTTAGTGAAAAAACCCCAGATCCTGTTTTTTGGTTTCTCTTGGTTGTGCTCCTTTTTTACCAACCAATTTGTCAATGCCATTATAACGACACAGATCACTCTGCCTAGTCATGCCAGAGTACCGTTGGAAAAAGTGATTGAGAGGTGGTAATTTGTGTGTAACTTATCTTTATTTATTTATGATTTGCTTATGGGTAAAACAAAGATCATGCACGTCAGGTAGTCGAAACAGTAGGCTACAAATAATTAATTAATTATGAATTAATTAATTGTTCATAAATAATTAATTTACTGGCACTTATGACAATGATGCCATCGTCCATCGCAATGTTGATGCCAAATTGGTCGATATCGCCCAACCCTACTGTATATGAAACAATCAAATGAGTTAGCACCAATGTACATATACAAACTTTATAAAAGTAATATATGAGAAGTATTAGTTCTGGTGTTGTTTGTAAATTTCAGTTTAGATGATTTACATTGAGGACATTCTCATGCTCAGTGTGTCCCTATATGAATGAACCAAGCTCATCAATGTCCTTACCAGTGGCAGAATTCGTATACACGATCTTCTGATCTACTACTCATGAGCTAGCGAGCTAATTGAGATACACCCTATGCCTCTGGTAGTGAGTTTGATATAGAAGATCAGATTTTCGTGCCAAATAAAACCACTTAAGTCACATTTTTAGGCAAAACAAAGACAAAACATGTTTTCTTTACATTTGGTTACTTTTCTAGCATCAGGTGAATAGAGAAGATTTTTGGTTTATCATTGCACCGACTCTACTGTTGATATGTTGTCAGTAGTGAATTGCTCAAATATTTTGTCACAAGGTTTGCTCTTTAAATGCTGCTTGTCTGAGAGCTCTTAAATCTGCTTTTGTGGCCAGGCGTAGCTGTGTTTGAGCAGTCCTTCAAGATCTTTGAAGAGATTGTAAATGTCCTCCCTTATCCGGATACGGCCAACATTGTATTTACCCAACATCATGGTCATGTTTGGCTTGTGAAGTGCCATTTTCCTAGCCATTAACATAAAAAAAAAATAACGAAGCGATGACATTTCGTTAATTAGAGCGGCTCTCTTTGATTGTCAGAGAGCATATGTGTGATTTAACAGCATGTTTTCTGTGTATCCTCACTCTATAAACACTAGAATGTTTCGAGCAGTCTGGACGCAGCTGTCGACCAGCAGAATATGTCACGTCTGTCACAGCAGCGTGCTCAAACACTCAAGATGGCACGGTATCCTCTCTGTAAACACCCTCGCGAGGCCACAAAAAACATGGCTGACATTTAAACTGCCTGTAGATTAATTGAGCTTAGTCACTTATTTTCATGAATCAAAATGCGGTCGGCGTTTATTCATAGGAATTGTTTCTAGACTTAAGATTGTTGCAAAAATTACATGTGGTACATTTCTGAACAGTCGACTTGCTGCAAGTAATATGCACGTCAAACATTAACAGATCAGCCTACAGTGTTTCTTTATGTGTTTACACTCTTTTTAATGTCTCTGTGTGGAGATATTGCACAACGTTTTCTAGTGGCTAGCGCATAAAACACACAAGCGCAAAGGCATTCCTTTTGTTTAAGTACATGGTAAACACGCTAGACCGCAGTTCCTGTTGTAACATACACAAGTGCATAATAGCTCTAAACAGAATCTTCTATTTGTCGTACAGGTGGGCTGCAAGGCTGCGATGGTTTTCTTCCAGTACGGCGTCATGGCCAGTTTCTTCTGGTTGCTGGTGGAGGGTCTGTATCTGCACGCTCTGCTAGCCGTTTCCTTCTTTTCTGAGAGGAAGTACTTCTGGTGGTACATCCTCATTGGATGGGGTGCGTATATACTGTATGTGTGCATATCTTGGTGTTTGTTAGGTTAAGATATATGGCCAGTCGTTTTCGTAATTGTTCAGGATGGGGGAGAAACACCTGCCAAATGTGAATGACAAATTAGTTGCTAAAGTCAACAGGACCTTGTGCACACATACAAACTCAAGATTCAGCAATTAACCTTTGCATTGACGTCACTGTGTCGTGTGGGGAAATGGTTCACATGTCACTTTTTTTAAAATTAGGATAGTGAAATCTGATAAGCAAATGCAGATCTTCATTTGGGGATCAATTAGGGGTTGTGGCTAATTGGCAGTGCCACTTGTTTTATTGAATTCTTAATGATCGTGGAGCCAAATTAAAAGGATAGTCCAATTAAAAATGAAGATTTGCTGTTTATTTACTCTCCCCTCAGGCTAAGGTGTTGTTGAGTGTTTTTCTTTAGTGAAACATTTTACAGATTTTAAATTAAGTCAATAGCTACAGGCACTGATGATCAATCAAATATATGTATACACAGCCAAAGCAAAATTACTATCAGGTCTTATTTAGGTCTTATGAAGCTTAATGATCAGTCTGTGCAAGAAAAGAGTCTGTGCAATTCTTTTTGAATGAATTGTTTGATTCAGTGATCCAATCATAAAGACTGGATGCATCCGAAATCGCATACTTTGCTACTTTATAGTACAACTAGTGGCAAAATAGCTGTCTGAATTCATTAGGTAGGCAAAAAATATTACAATGACAACAAAGCAGATAACATATTTTATATTACATTCAAATGAGAAATGTAAACTGGCCAAGTTACCAGCACACAACTTGGCATTGCCAAGACAATGAATTTTGTCATAAATTTGTCATAAACATGATTGTCATGAAGCCATTATAAATGTGTCATGAATTTTATAACCATGTAATTATTATATATTGTTTAACTTAACTACAGTGATACAAGATTAATTTGTCATTAAAAATATTTATGATGCTGTTATGAAGAGTTATGACACTTTTTTATGAAAAGTATGATGACAAATACAGTTTATTCAGCTGATTCAAATGTTATCACTCGATTAAATGGGCATTATCAGTGGTTATCAGCTGATAGATATGGGCCAGTAGGGACCTTGTGCACCTACTGGTAGGCTAAGATGGCTGTTATCATTCATCCACATGGTTAATTAGCTACAGATTACATACGGCTGCGGCTGGAAGTTTGTGAGAATTATTTATATTATTTATTAAATTTCTCATGAATTGTATAACGTCTACCCATACCCTAACCCTAAACCCAACCATTACAGTAATGTAAAAACAGAACTGGAGTTTTCTCTATTAATATAGCTGATTAACTACAATAATTATTTATATTATCTATTAAATTTCTCTTTAAATTTCTCTTTAATTGTTTAACATCTACCTCTACCTCAACCCTAAACCCAACCATCACAGTAAAGTAAAAACAGAGTCTTCTCTGTTAGTATAGCTGATTAACCATGTGGATGGATGATAACAGCCTACCAGCCCCTACTGGCCCATATCTGTTAGCTGATAACCATTGATATTCAAGAGTGATAACATTCGAAGCAGGTGCTTTGTTCCACTGAAAACATGATCAGAAAAATATTCATGGCACAAATATAATTCCTCATGACAATCATGTTTATGACAGATTTATGACAAGTTATGTTATGTTGTTGGTAATGTCAAGATGTAGGACAATGATGAATACTGGCTGTGATGTATTTGTTTGTCAAGTCATCATTACAAACACTAGCCATGTTCCCATCCAAAAATGCGAATGAACTTCATGCGCAAAACTGGTTTATCGCATAAAAGACGTGCGAATAAAGCAGGGTTTCCATCCAATGAGTCAAAACAAAAAAAATCGTCACTTCCTGATTAACTGGTGCCAAATATCAACAGTAAAAACAGAATTTGACACAGCAGGAGAAGCTGTATCAATTTTTTCTTCATCAAATAAATGACTTGGGCCTCAAAAGGCAATCCTGACATGCAGTGAACGTGCGGTAGCGTTAGAAAGTGTTAGATGCAGAGCACAGGCCCTCTTGATTCTGGAGGTCATTAATAATATAATAACACTAATGCTTAAACGATAAAACGTTTTAGAATGACCAAAAGAACATTTCAGATGTTTTTAAATGTGCTTTGTCTGCTGGTTTGTTCATTTACACACATTTTCATCATCACATGATGAATACTTGAATTTAGTATGGTTAATGTTCATTATTTGTGAGCAAACTAAAGTTTAATAAAAGATTATTTTTGTTAGCTAAGATTTATTTTTATTTTTTGGTGTTCAATACAGTAATTTTGTATGTAATAAATATGTTTCACTCCTAAAGTGATGGTAGCAATTCCCTTCCATTTTTTTGGAACCACCAAACATCACAGTTTCAGGTAAAATCAATTTCTGTAGTGTTCTAAATGATGAAAATATAATCTATGTACATGATGGATGGCCTTAATGAGCAAACAGACAGCAACTTTTCATTTTTGAGTAAACTATCTCTAAACTATCCCAATGAATCCCTGCAAACATAGAAACTCCAATGTCAACATGCCTGTAAAGCTGTATGTAATCAAATATTGACAGTATTCATAGTCAACATGTGTGTTTGTGTGTCTGTTTGTGTGTGTGTGTGTGTGTGCGTGCGTGCGTGCGTGCGTGTTTGTGTGTGTGTGTGTGTGTGTGTGTGTGTGTTGCAGGAGTTCCAGGTGTCTTCATCACAATCTGGAGCATCACAAAAGCCTATTTACATGATATCGGGTGAGGGAATGCAGCTTGTTTGCCACTTTGCAATTTTTGTTTTATATCTGCTTTTATGGGAGCCGTAAAACCCCTTCTGCCACTGTTATGTAAGACTACCAATTAAAATGAGTGAAGATGTCAGTATTTTTTTATGAGTTTATAGAGTTTATGAGTTTAGATTAATCTTTTTTGCCGATGTCAAAAGTAAAGCTGACACTGTGAAATCAATTCGAATCACTTCCTTAATGATAAATGGCATCCCTTCATGGAGGTCAGATGTCTATATTTAGATGCAGCTCGTATAGAGAATACATCTGAACAGATTTCCTGTGTATATTTTCATTTTCATTGCCATCAAATCTGCACATGAACAGTAGAGAGCAACATTAATTCAAAAGCAACTAACCATTATTATCAGCACTCTTAGTTCTGGAAATATTTTGAAATATTTGAGTAAAATTAAATACATGGGGTGGGGGGGGTGGGAATAAATATCGAGCATGTCATTTTTCTCAGAAAACATATTTATAAAGGTGCTGTTGACTTGAAATGTTCACCAGATGTTGGTAACAACTAAAGAAATCCATATATGCAATAAAACAAATCTAATTAGTTTAAAAATTAAGTTATGCATAATAAAATGAAGTAATGCAGGGGAAAAGTATTGAACACACGAAGAAAGGAAGGTGTAGAAAGGCAGTGAAAGCCCAGACAGCAGTTGAAATCTCTCTGAAGTAGTTCTTCAGCAACCCTATTGCCCTTTGTAATTGTAACTTAATATTAGCTGCTTCAGTCCAACATCTACATTACCAGGATGGTAAAGATGAAACCAAAGTGGACATTTCAGCAGGACAATGATCCAAAACAAAGCCATGGAAACTCTCAAATGCTTCCAGAGAAAGAAAATCAAGCTGTAGAATGGCCCAGCCAATCAACTGACTCGAATCCAATAACAAATACAAAATAAATATAAGATTGTATAGACGAGACCCACAGAACCATCAAGATTTTTACACTCTGTTGAAGTCTGTGAAAAAATCACATGAAATATTATTCCCAGGAAAAACATGACGTGCTCAATACTTATTTGCCCTGCTGCATTGAATTGAAATATTTTAGTATTTAAATTTTAAACAGTTAATTAACATAAGTAAGTAAGATTTTAACATGAACTAAAAACGGTCATCTCTTTGTCTCTTACTTAATAAGATATATTATCAGTGGCGGGGTAAGTTTATTTCTGAAAAACAAATTGAAATTTTACCCACAGAACACAAATTTATTGTTTAATTACTGCACATTTTTTCCACAGATGCTGGGATTTTATTGACGACGATCTGTGGTGGATTATAAAAACACCTACTTTGATAACAATATTGGTGAGTGAGCCTATAATAGCAGCAACACCCCACTAATACTGTAGGAAATAGCACAAATAAAGTCTAATCTCTTCATGCTGTTTTGCTTTTAAAGATGAACTTTATTCTCTTCATTTGTATCATCCGGATTCTCCGTCAGAAAATCAGTTGTCGAGATATTGGGAGAAACGAATCACACCAGTACTCGTGAGTGTTTTGTGACAATACACACTGGATTCTTAGATAAATAAATATTTAAAAGTCCCATGTAGTGCCTTGAGATGTGAATTTTTGTTTAGTGTGTGACATAATTTGAACTTAAGCATTAAGACAAACTTAAAGTAGCTCCTCCCCCTTTTTAAAACCTTTTTGTTTTATTACAGCTCTACCAGTGAGTGGTTACGCTCATGCATAAATAGTAATTAGCTGTGTCCAAAAATGCATACTTCCATACTATATAGTATGCTAAAAACAGTATTCGAGCGGAGTAGTATGTCCGAATTCAAAGATTTCGAAAAACAGTATGTGAAAAGTACTCAGATGACCTACTACTTCCGGCGAGAATCTGAAGTGCGCATCAGATGGACGCTATACTATCCCATGGTGCCCCGTGAGAAAATTCATGAATGTGAGTGAAGCAATGCAACTGACATGGGTAGGTCACGAGATAATGACAAAATGGCGGATGTGGTACATTCGAGTTCAATTCATACTACTCACATTTATACTGTCTAGAACGTACTTTTCTAACAGACGAGTTGTAAATTCAAATTCAAATGCAGTACTTAGAGAGTAGAAGGCGATTTCGGATGCTGGGATAGTGTCTTGAAGGGGGTGAGACATGTTAAACACTAGAGAGCATTTGGTTGTTCAGAAGACTTGATAAGTAAATTAAGTATGAGGTGACGTCAAAAAATCATTTAGACATTTAGGCAGAAGTGACAAACTGCAATCTTTGGATGTTTATATCTACCTAATGCAAAGTTCATTACTGTTTTGAAGCACACTAAACTCAAAAAATGACTTTTGCTGCTTGTTTAAACTACTTATTTTAAATGAGTTCATGAATCAATACAATTATTTTATGTTTTTTTGGGAAACTTATTTGTTTTATGTTCAATTTGTAAATTAAGTTACTATTTGTACTATTACGTTAACTTAAGCGATTTGTGCTGGGACAACATGATGTAATTGTGTGGAACCCAGCATTTTTTACATACTTTACAGATAATCTTACAACTAACATACAGATACTAACAACTAAAAAACATGATTTTAATTTGACGGGTACTTTAAAAGCAGAGTAAGTTTTCTTTTTTACATTGACTTGATTGTGTTTGTGCGGTGCATTGTAACATGGTAATGCTTCATTGTTAACATGTTCGTTTTAACTTTATTCAACACCTTTATTTATTTTTATTTATTTAGAATTTTTTTAAACAGGAAAAGATTAAAAGATAATCGGGCCTGACTCAGCATAATTGCTGTTTTTCAGCAGGTTCCTGCTCTGCAGAACATAAAAACAGACAGACATCTCATCCATCAACACAGTACAAACAATCACCAAATATATAAGACAAAGAAAAAAAAAGCAGGCTACTATCTCAGTGCCTACAGCGATAGTTGACCATCAGATGATGAGCATGGGATTTCTTAAAAAGTCTCAGTGTTGGTATTGTTTTGAGATGTTGTGGGATCTCATTCCAGACTCTTGTGAAAACATAAAAGAAAGATCTCTGTCCATAACAGTTTTTAAAAGCCGGTACTGGCAAACATCCATTTGTTACAGATCTGGTGGAACGATCAGTCCTTCTGTTGAGTTTAGGTACCAATGCACAAAGGGCTGCTGAGGTAGAGCTATTTAAATTTTGATAGTACAGTTTGATACCTGAGTTCACAATGTAGTTTTGAAATGTTAAAGCTTTAGAAAGTGATAGAGCAAAACAGTGATGTGTCCATCCAGAGAGTCTGTTGTGTATCTTATAGGCCCTATTGTATAGTCTAGCTATTGGCTCCAAGATATCGTTTGTTGTGAGAGACCAAATAGGCAGACAGTAAGACAATGTAGACAAGATTATGGCATGCAGATAATTTTCTGAAAAGAAAAAGAAAAAAGACAGAAAAAGACAAATTTGTCCTAATTTTGCCATAAACAAATAGCTTTTGTTTCAGCTTTTTATAAACATTTTGAACATGGTTACAATAAGTGAGGTGAGAGTCCAGACTGATTCCCAAATATTGATATGTGGTTACAATGGAAAGTTTTTGATTTGAGAAAGTGAGGGGATAGGATATGGATACTTTTCTCCTAGGTGAATAAAAGTACATACACTCTGTTTTCTTAACATTAATAGTCAAATGATTGTCTTGCAGCTACTCATGTAAATGCTGAAGATCTGTATTTAATTTATTGTTAATTGTGTCTGTACTTGATCCAGACACAAAAAGTACAGTGTCATCTCTGCATACAATAAAGAATCTGAATGTTTAATTAGCTGAGGGAGGTCATTGATATACATCAGGAAAAGTAAAGGTCCCAAAATACTTACCTGAGGAACCCCCATAGAACAACCTAATGCCTGGGAAATTGTTGTACCAATTTTAACAACCTGAGATCTATTGGATAAATATGATGAAAACATATCTATTGCAAAAGAAGAGAGATTAAAATAGATCAATTTGTTTAAAAGAATATTATGATTAACTGTATCAAAGGCCTTTCTAAAGTCTATGTATACAGCTCCAGTGACATGTCCTTTATGTAGTGCCATACGTATATGTTCAGTAAATAAAGGCAATGCTGACATGGTTGAGCGCAATGGTCTAAAGCCATGCTGGCTATCACTGAGCAACTTATTGTCTTCAAGATACTCAATTAACTGATTATACAGTTGTTTCTGTTCTCCAAAAATTTGTCTTCTTGGCTCAAGCTCCTCTCTCCGAAATACACAATGAGCTCTGATTAGCCAGTTAAAATGCCTATAGTGAATGTTGTCTGGAGGTGTCACACCCAGGGCATGTAAATTATAGGCTTGTGATGTCACAAACCCAGTAAAAAAGCTTGTTTTAGTCCCGACCAGTCATTTGCTTTAGGCTTTTAAAAAAGTCAATTAATTATGGGGGTCGTAACTTTGCAGATTTTGTTTTTGCTCAAGCAGTAATATTATAGACCAACTAAAGTAGTACTAATATAGTACAATCATAATCAAATACCACTTTAACATCTGCTATATCTTCTGATTTGCAGGAGACTGGCTAAGTCAACTCTACTCTTGATTCCATTGTTTGGCATAAACTACATAATCTTTGCCTTTATGCCTCATCACATCCAGTCTTACATACGTCTGGTGTTTGACTTGATCCTGGGGTCATTTCAGGTAGGCAGCATGTTTTTTACCCACAGTTGCTTATCTGGTTTGGATTCTCTAAATGCCAGTGGAATACTAAGGCTGGCACAGAGATGGTCTTACCGTGGGATCTGCCAGCAGGCCTGAACCCCAGACGTGCCCAGTGATATTTATTCCCTCCATGTCTGTTATGCAGCCAGATGAAAAGGTTGAGTGAGGATATACAAAAATGAACTTAAATAAATCTTCCACTGACATCATATGAGCTGACTTTTAATATAAAAATTGCTTTTTGTGTCCTAAGATATATTTATATGAACAAAATCACACGTGTAGCAATGCGATGTAGCTATATATCAGCAATGGCGGGAGGCGTGCATTGGCATGGGGCTGCAGACCAAGTACCCTAGTGTCCCACTGGTGCCGATATACAGTTTTATCGCACTGCTACTCATGTGATATTGCCTTTATACAACAGTTCGATGGCATAATCATGTATATAAAAAAGGAAATCAAACACGGAGAGTCTCAAAATTCTTTTGTATGAGGAATTACTTTCTTCCGCCATTCATTCACATCTGCACCTGATGTCAGAACAGCAAAACGTTGCTACTTCACAAATGTCACTTTAGAGCTAGTATTTGAATAATTCTGTAGTGTAATGTCTAAAGTGGTGTCAAAACGAGGTGATTTTGCTCACATTATAAGGCTGAACAGCATGAAATACCAATAGTCTATAGACCTTTCCCTGCAATCAGGAGATCACAATAGTTAACCTCAAAAAAGCCAAAGCAAAGCAAACACTGCCAGAAACACTACTGGATTACTATGGTATAAATACAGCACTAAAACATACAAAAGAGAGAGATCAAGTTAGAAAGTCGCTGTTTTATAATGATTTGATCAGCTGTAGTTTGTGTTTTTCTCCTCTATTTGCTTGTTATGTGGTCTCTGTTGGCATCTTGTGGTTCAACCATCTTTGCTCTGCTCAATATGACATGCTGATGCATGCCGACGCGCTGTATCTCTGAAATTATAAACATTTTAAATAGGTACTATTATAAAGTACATAGAGTATAAAGTATATAAAGTATACTAGTATATAAATAAACTGCATAGTTGCAACAACTACATAAATAATTAATAAAGCCTCAAAAGTACAGTATGCTGTCCAACAGCTGCAATAATTGTCAAACTGCAATGAGTCTGTTGATTTGTTGTCACTCTATGTGGGCAGAGTAATACACAAGTGTGAAAAGGCTGCACGAGTGCTGTTATTGCAGAATATTGCCAACAAGAATATAAGCTAATCAGATTCGAGAACCCGACAGAACTGTTGTATAAATATGTATATATAATGATTATGCCAGTTATGACAGACATCTATAGTAAAGGCCATGTAGTTAGTATTGGCCAATACATGACTAAACTACAGATTTTTACTGGATTTTTTAAATCTTATTTGATAATGTTAGTTAAATAAAAACAATTCAATTTCAGGTAATGTTAGGGTTAGCCAAGCTAATGTACATTAAATAATATAAAACAACAGAGACAACTTTTGATATTAATATTATTTTAGTACAGTTAAATACATGTTAGTATTACTGTAAATGTTGAAATGACTGATTGCTGTGGTTAATAAATTCTTTAAAAGTATTTTTCTGTTAAAGGGCCATGAAACCCCCCTCTTTCGGTTTAAGTCTACCTCAGAACTTTTTTAAAAAATGCATCTTGATGGGCGTGGAGCTCTGCGAGCAGTGGAAGAAGTGGGTGTGGCCAGCAGAGCAGGGGAGAAGGAGGGGAGCGAACAACTGTTGTCAGTCAGCTCACAAAATGAGACACAAACCATGGAAGACGCATGATTTTATAGTTTACAAAGTAAAATGCAAAGAAATAAACAGTAATTTAATGCCCTGCTACATTTGTTATTCTTAGTGTCATATACACACAACACAATATATATTATTATAAAGATATTGTGTTTATATAAACACTATAAATGAGGACATTTCCCTCAATCCCCGGGTCTGAATGCAGACTCAGTGCAGCAGGTCTCTTGCCCTGCCTATTTCAACCATTAGCCCTGCTGGTAATCTGGGGGATTTAGGCAAGCACGGCTGCACGGCGATGTGTCTAAATGTGAACGAACTCAACTGATAAAGGACAACATCTGCAATTCTTTTACTGCTCTCCCGACAATAATGCTTGCTGCAAACAAACAGCTTTGCTGTATCGGCCCTGACAGGATCGCGGGGATAAAATATGCAACAAACCTAGTGAATCATAGAAACAAACACAAATATTGCGTGTGCAGTCCGTGGGCGAGAAACCGATGAGAAAACCGACGTGTTGTGGAAATATAAATTTATATCATCTAATTTCAAATTAACAATAATCTACGTATAACTAAAAAGTTATATTCTCTGGTTTTTAATTATATAATTTCATTAACATCCCAGCTAGGAAGGACATTAACCTTTTGTCTATCTGATTACAGGCTAAGCCAATGTAATGCAAATTGTCAGTTTCACAGCATGGGTGTCTATTGTTTTCTCTTTTCGATCAAATGGTCAGGCGGTTTCTGTCTCCAGAACATGATGAGATTAGACCTGAGAAGCAGTTTAACCTGCCGACCACAACTCTTGATTTGCATACTTTGTTTAGCTATATCCCCTCCTCCTCAGAACACAATATAGACAGGACATCTTTGTCTTAATTCAGACTAATTCAGACTATGTGAGACTATTAGAGACTTGTGAAAGAACTTGCAGACTGCGGACCTCTAGTAGGCTCTTGCAGACACGGACATCTTAAAGGCGTGTATGACTGCAGATTAACCAACACGTCTCAATAAAGGAATTCTGCTTGTTTCAAGTCTCCTGGACTGGGTTCTCTCTCTTCTTTTCATTCATTTATTTTTTTTTTACAACAACTTGGTGCCGTGAGCCGGATAGACTGAAATCATCAAATTCTCAACAATTTGCTACAAAAGACTGAAATCCACCTGGAATTCAACTTGAACCTTCAAGATCAAGGAAACTTCTTCAGACGGAATCTTCAGCTCAACGGCAATTTGAAGTCACTCAGCGGACGTCACAAATTCTCAACTATTTGCTGACTGCAACCCTGATGAACATTGAAGCTACCTGAATACAAAGATCAGATCACTCCAGACTGAATCTTTTCAGCTCAACTTCGATTTGGTGAGTTTTCACTCTATCAAAAGAACCATACAGACCAGTCTATACACATGGTTATTCTCTGCTCCATCAGAGAAAAGTTAACAAACAGCTGCAGGGTTTGTTTAACAAAAAGCTATCCTCTGTTCAGACAGAGAAGTAAAGCCTTACGTGCTATTTTCTTCTAAAAAGTTATCCTCTCTTCAGAGAAGTTAAGCCTTATGCGCTATTTTCTTTTCTTTTATTTTGTTTAACCTCTGTTCAAACAGAGAAGTTTAACTTTAGCTATACAAGCTAATTTATGTTATCTCTTGTTCAGGCAGGAAGTTTTAGCAACATGTGCTAATATTGTTACCCTCTGTTTCGCCAGAGAAGAAATTACTACACTTTCATCTGAAAAGTTTTAGTATTTTTACTTTGTGATAACAAGCTCACAAAATGTTCAGACAGAATACAAGACTGATCACTACAACTGAAAAAGGTAGTTTAAAAACTCCTTTATTGTCAGATCAGGATTTCAAATCGCTGCTACAACAGCACATGGACTCAATTACAGAGTCAGTCAGACTAAATTTGACAAAGAAATTTAGCATTGACCCAGATGATGTTTGGACATTAGATGAATGCAAGAAAGTGCTTGATGCATGCATTCGCAAAAACAATGTGAAAGGCATTATCTGCTGCTACAGAGAATTCAGTTTATCTCGAGCTAAACAACAAGCTCAGGCTAAATCTGAATTAGAGAAACAGATCCAAGAGCTTCATGCTAAGATAACCTCATTAACAAAACAACTGAACCTAAAGAAATCAAAAACTGACATTGAGGAGGTTAGTCAGCCTGATAATAAACATCCTGACTTACAAATTGTCTCTGAAACAGACATTTCCATCCAGTCAGATAGCGATTTACCTATAGGTTCAGTGGAGGTTTGTGGTGCCAGAAGATCTAAGAGAACTGAGAGTTCACACAACAACACTTCTGTTGTTCAAATTCAAACCAGAACACTAGGACCTAGAGAAATAGACAGATTGTCTCAAAGCTTACCATCAGCACGCACAAATTTTTCAGAGTTTAGCAGAGCACTAATCAGCAAGATGCGTCTTTATGACATGTCATTAACAGAAGTCACCCAGCTAATGTCTCAAATTCTCACTGAATCTGAATTGAACAGTTTTGAGCATACTGTGACCTCTAAATTACAACATGCCAGTAAGGATGATTTGAGAGAGGGTGTTTTGAAAGCTCTAAAGAACATTGTTGGCCCAAAGATCGACTGGTCAAAAGTGACTTGTTGTGTGCAAAGGAAAGATGAATCTGTGAATGAATTCACTGAGAGATTTTGTCAATCCGCCATAACTTACAGTGGATTAGCTGATAATTCGGACAGTGTGCTAGATGATAAGGGACCCCTAGTCCGCATCTGGTCAGATGGCCTTGCAACTGAATACAGACAAGCTTTGCCATTTCTTAACATCACCTGGTCTTCCACCACTCTCAGAAATAATATGAACAGTTTAGCTTTGTGGGAAAGAGACTCTTACATCAAAGACAGAGTCAGATTTGAAGCAGCCGCCACTAAGGTCAACACAGAAAAGACATCAAATCACAAATGTCTTAGGAAAAAAATCTGTTGTCATTACTGTGGAAAAAAAGGACATTGGATGAGGGAGTGTAGAAAGAATAAAAAGAACTTTAAAGAGATGAACAGGGTAAATCAACTTCTGAACAGTTTGCTAAATGCCCTCAACATACCCCTCACCTCATCACTAAATCCATCGAGCTGTCCACAAAGATGCTAACCATTTTTTGGCTGTGAGTGCTTAATGTCCCAGTTCATTTACAATTAAGATGAAAGACTCTTTGTAAAAAGACACAAAGGAAACTTCTTCCTTTGTATTAGGGAACTCTGCTTAAGTCCACTTACAGCCTTGAATGTGTTTTAACACATTTTCCAATCACTACCCATTCAATGTTATGATGTCTGATAGGACTGATATTTATTGAATGATAGTTGGTGTCTCACATTTTAAAGTTTGCCCACCACACTCAGGGACAGAACAGGACACACAAACCAGTGAGGAGCCCAGGGCAGAACTGAAAGCAACAGGCTTCAGGGGCCGCACCCTGTGGTGAAGACTCCCTTTTTCCCCATTTATCCTCACCTCACTGTTTTATAGGTGTCATAACTTTAAGATTAGGAGACAGAAAATACACAACACTATACAATCACCAACTTAACACAACCACTATACGATCACCTGAATAACTAGACACATGAACTGTATGATCATACAAGTCTATGCATGAATACTGCTGGTCTGCTGTTTCCGTGTTTTCTTGTGTGCAGGTTAACCCATACACACTGCATCTTCTCAAGAAACACTCTAAACCAGAGCATCACTACGGAGATCCAGGAATGACAGGAAGTCATCAGATCAACTCTGTGCTGGAGAAGAACCACAAGAAACACACCTCACAAAAGACTGAACACTATTCACAAGCCATGGACTTTCAGAAGATCTGCAGTTTAACTACATGATTTTTTGTGTCATCATGTAGGATTTATGACATTACAACTGATTGTCATAAACGTGTGAACAGTTTTAGAAATCTACACTTACATCTATGTAGATATTGAAATGACACAGAATAAGTTAAATGTGCCTGTAACTTTTCAAGTTACATGACTAGAAGATGGGGCTTCTGTTATCAAACAGAAGCCATTGAATGGATTTAGGAAGGCTTACAAATTTATATATTTTTGTGAGAGTTTTTAAATAACTCTCAAAGGGGGAACTGTGGAAATATAAATTTATATCATCTAATTTCAAATTAACAATAATCTACGTATAACTAAAAAGTTATATTCTCTGGTTTTTAATTATATAATTTCATTAACATCCCAGCTAGGAAGGACATTAACCTTTTGTCTATCTGATTACAGGCTAAGCCAATGTAATGCAAATTGTCAGTTTCACAGCATGGGTGTCTATTGTTTTCTCTTTTCGATCAAATGGTCAGGCGGTTTCTGTCTCCAGAACATGATGAGATTAGACCTGAGAAGCAGTTTAACCTGCCGACCACAACTCTTGATTTGCATACTTTGTTTAGCTATATCCCCTCCTCCTCAGAACACAATATAGACAGGACATCTTTGTCTTAATTCAGACTAATTCAGACTATGTGAGACTATTAGAGACTTGTGAAAGAACTTGCAGACTGCGGACCTCTAGTAGGCTCTTGCAGACACGGACATCTTAAAGGCGTGTATGACTGCAGATTAACCAACACGTCTCAATAAAGGAATTCTGCTTGTTTCAAGTCTCCTGGACTGGGTTCTCTCTCTTCTTTTCATTAATTTATTTTTTTTTTACAACAGTGTCATCACTCTACTTGCAGTTTTGTACTACGTCGCTGATTTTGATCACACCCCAAAAATCATTTTAAACCCGGAAAATGAAATTAGCTTTACAAAAGCTCAAAATTATCCAGTTTTCCCCACAATTAAAGCTGACAAGTGCTAACACTGTCTTTCAAGAGTTCACACTTAGATCATGATTTATACATAGCTTGTTTGGCATGCTGTCCCAAGAGAGAGCCCTGAGCTCAAGGGATCCTCGGGCCCAGGGCTTCTCCCTTTCACGGGGTGAGGGGAAATTGAGCTCAGGTCGATTTCAAACTTCCCTGCTGCTGAGGCCAAGGTGAACTTCCTGAGAGTAAGACATTGGAAAAAAAGATTTAGGCTTATTTTATCTATTATATATAGAGCATATTTGGATGGTGGGAGGAAACCAGGAAACCCGGGGGAAACCCACGCGGACACAGGGAGAACATGCAAACTCCGCACAGAAATACCAGATGGCCCAGCGAGGACCCGACGTTATTGGTATTCTTGTATTGTGAGGCAACAGTGCTAGTCACTAGGCCACTGTGCCACCCATTCTGGATAAAGGTGGAAGAGGGGGGTTTCTTCCAGACAAAGATAGCGGTAGAAAGGAAATAAGGATAAATATAGTGACTTGAGATCCTTTGATCGCGGGATCATGATTAGCTAATGTGGCCAGCTGAGCATGAGCATGTGCTCCTCTCGAAATTAGTTTAAAATTAAACTTCACTAAGTGATGCTCAACACACACAAATCTGTTAAAATCACAAAAAAAGTACTTGAGGGTTACATGAACCTTTAATGCACACTAACTAAAAGTGCACTTAGATTATATTACAATATAATCATTAAAATGTTAATTTCAATGGTTATCTTTTATTAATATATCATTAATCATTGAAATGTATCGTAAAAATAATCATTGCCTTTTCATTGATTAAATATACCATTTTATTATCAATTTAAATTATATATAAATGAGTTTTTATATATTATTTTTATATGAGAATTTATAATAACAATATCCATGTTAAAAATCTTTTTCATTGTTTTACATAATCCTTCAAAATATTGATCTGACTGTAAATCTTCATTTCTCTTCAGGGATTTTGTGTCGCTGTCCTGTACTGTTTTCTAAATGGAGAGGTAATGAACCGCTGAAAAGCTTAGAAACACAAGACTGAACCTGTTTGTCATGATCATTTCAGCTTTATCTAAACAGTAAAGTACATTTTCCCTGTCCTCCTCATCTCTCTCTCCAGGTTCAGTCTGAGATTAAGCGTAAATGGAGGCGATGGCACATGCAGAGGTTTCTGGGAGCAGACACCAAATACCATCAGCCCTCGACGGCGAGCAACGGCCTCAACTTTAGCTCCCAAATCACCATGATGACCAAATGCAGCCCCAGCACCCGCCGTGCCTCTGCATGCCAGGATGACTTCTCAGCTGTCTGATCGAAGCGGTGCTGTCTGTGACTATACACAGAAACTGAAGAGTGTGTGTTCGACACACAGTCACCCGCAGCACTTTCACCATCCAGAGGCGTTGCTCCTGGAGGAACTGCGCAGATCGTGAGGAAAAGCACACAGATCCAGGCTCATGGTGATAGTTTAACACGTGATGCATCTTCATTTCATCCACATTCATCAGGAGGAAGTATGCAAATGAAGCAGACTGGTTTGATTATTTCTTCAGACTGAAGAGCACAGGTTTCTGCTCAAGAGTTTAAGACGAGACAATGCAGGCGAATGGGGTTCTGAAGATTAACTAATAGTTATCATCATACTTACCCAGTTCATTGACAACATGAAGAACCACAATTTTTTTCAATAATCAAAAATACAAATGTTTTCTAAAATGAATTTATTTATTTTTTTTGTGCTGGGCTAAGATACACATTCAAAATAAACGTTTGTTTTGATATTATATGTTTGTGTATTATATATATTTATTATATATGTGCTAAACACACCTACATAGAAACAAAACTATACAAATATTTTGTTACATATATGTTTACACATATATTATTTGTATCATATACACTTATATTTTATATTTCAATATAAATAAACATTTTCTCAAATATATTATTCTCAGCATTAATAGGAATCACAAGTGTACTTTGCTATTTTTACATGTATATTGATTCTCAAATATATTGTATTTATATACACATAATTAATATACACAATACACACACTAAAATTGTCAAAATAAACTTTTATTTTGGTTGCAATTAATTGTGATTAAATTTTGCCCTGCAGTATATATATATAGAGTCAACATTTCGATGCGATTAGGGGAGTCTAATTGCTTTATAATTAAAAAAATACAGCCAGAAAAAATAAAAATAAAAATTCACAGTTTTTTGTTGAATAAGTTTTTTTTATGTAATCAGGCAAAAGTGTTGGAATCAACCCAGGCAGGATCATTGGGGAAAAATGCTTCAGCCTGCTTTTCAGCAAAAAGTGAAATACTTTCATTTCAGGTGATAAATTCAGTAGTGGACACTGTCTACATTTTTGCAATTCTGAAATGCTACTGTTACAACCAAGCGGCAACCTCTCCCTCTAGAAGCTAATATGGATGTAACTGAAACTGCAATTCCGCTAGTCATGGCTCTATAATAAAACACAATTCTATTGAGCCCAATGTTAAAATGGCCAACTTTACAACAGAAAAATGTTTACAGCCTTTATATTATACCTAATATCATCCTTCATTTAGTGGCTAATTTGTACAAATTTCACGAGTACAAATTCAGTTCACTGGTACGAAAATGGCCAATTTTAAAAAAGGAGACATGACACCCAACCCCACCCCTAAACCCAACCATCACTGATGGATGAGCAAATTGTACTAAATTGTACAAATTAGATTGTACAAATTCATACAAATTAGCCACTATATCAAAAAGTTACGAATTCTGAGATTGTGTTGGTTAATCTGTGTTGGTATGAACTAATCCATTCAGAATATAGATATAAAAAATAAAAATGTAAAGTGTGCTGTATAAGAGCTGCAAGACTTATGGCTCAGTCCGGAGAAAATACTCATTTGGAGAAAACTGACTCAAATTTTTTGCTTTGAATCTACTGAAGTGGTTTGATTAATTGTGATAAACATTGTGATAAACATACATTGTGAATGTTAAACTCTTATGTCATAACCTCAAATGTGAGAGACAGGTGCATAAAAAACTGTGTTTTTGCCTTAAACCCACATCAGACCATTTTTTGTGCACAGTGACTGGCTGTACTCTTTCAGTTGGTATCTGTCTGTTGTATTTTTGTGCTCTCATTATGCTGCTCAAGATTTGTCAGACCTGTAACAACCTTTAAAGCTGATTGGTGACCTTTTAGGTCTCTGGTGGTCAGGTTTTATTTTTATCTGCTTCCTCAATCATAAGGGAGAAAGAAAAGCGATGTGATTTAGACAGTCTGACATTCTGCTGAAATATAGTTTTTGCATCCTGCTCATTTGTGTCCGTGTTCATGTGGACAAACACAAACGTCTCTCATGCAGCGAAAGTCATAAAAGCATGTTTACTTGTGCGACAGAAGTCTTTCTATGTATTTTATAATCGTGATTTATTGTATAGCGCTGTGCGAAAATGTACATGGCTTGTGTAACTGTACTCCTGTTGCATAAAGATATTTGTGTAAGATATGCTTCTTTCTAGAGAGTATTTTTAGTCAGAAACATTTTTAGGTGTCAAAAAAACATTAATATTTTCTAGCATGAAAAGGCATGCTTCTTGTACCTCAGAATTGCTGTTTTTTGACAGTGTTTTGTGGATGTTTTCAAAATATATAGATACATTTTTATTACAGTAGATCTTTGTCTTTTGGTTTTCAAAGTACTTTTTTCTTTGAAATTTTTAACAAATCTTCACCATCATCAAGCACTTTTATTAGGCATGATCCTAAGTTGTATCCACAATTAATTAAAAATTATTATTTATCCTATAATTTATTTGTCATGCAACATTTACTGTATTTCTGTTTTATCACTTTGTGTTAGCGTGTACAATAGTTTAGTAACATACACTATAATATGCCCATATGATTTGCTTTAATGCTGTGAAATATTTCTATGATATAAATTTATATATAAAGTATAATATAATATAATTAATGTAATTAGTTATTTCTAATACAATATTATATTTGGATGATTCAAATTTAAACTGCACAATAATTGCCATTGTCTCAGATTATCACAATTTAATTAAATAATATCAACCAGTTAATCAATGTTTATGACAGGCTTTGTGCATATATATTTTCTTTTCTACAAATTAATTATTGTTGTACTGGTCAAAGGTGTAACAAATTGATGTTATATAATAGTAAGTCTACTATGTCATCAAATAATTATTGCTCTAAATATGCTGACAAAATGTTTTGGTATAATAATTGTTGTGCCTATGGTGTGTTCAATAAGTCATTGTAATAATATATAGTCATTATTTTTGTTCAGAAAAAAAAATATTATTAAAAAGGCGGATGTGTGTGCAAGTGAACATTTTTTAATGTGTGTATTCACCCACGTCTTTAAAAAAAAATCCATATTGTATTACTTCTGGCATTGACTCAACCACAACACCAACTGCTTTCTTTTTTTATACAGTCAGAATTATTAACCCCCGTTTATATACAGATAGTTTTTTTCAACACATTTCTAAACATAACAGTTTTAATAACTCATTATGTGATTTATTTTATCTTTGCCATGATGACAGTAAATAATATTTGGCTAGATATTTTTCAAGACACTTCTATACAGCTTAAAGTGACATTTAAAGGCTTAATTAGGTTAGTTAGGGTAATTAGGCAAGTTATTGTATAACGATGTTTTGTTCTGTAGACTATCAAAAAAAATAAAAAGGGGCTAATAATGCTGACCTTAAAAACGATTTTAAAAAATTAAAAAACTGCTTTTATTCTAGCCAAAATAAAACAAATAAAAATTTCTCCAGAAGAAAAAAATATTATCAGACATACTGTGAAAAAAATCCTTGCTCTGTTAAACATAATTTGGGAAATATTTAAATATTTAAAATAATAATAAATTCAAGGGGGGCTAATAATTCTGACTTCAACTGGATTTTCGAGGTTTCGAAAACAGCGACATAGATGTCTACATTTCTCTAAGATGACTAGAGTGAGGGAAAGCAGATGACTGAAAGGTGAAAGATTTCATTTCTGTTTGCAGGCTGAAACGCGTCTGTTATTTATTTATCTACCAAATCCCTTCTTAAATCATAGCTCCCTCCATTCGTCCCTTTGGCAATATCTCTGCTCACTTTCCAGTGTCTGAATACCATGATGTCCCAGCAGGCAGATTAGCCGGACTTGATTTAAAATTTCTGAAATCTCCGATGCATAAACAGCATGCTATTTTCAGATGTGCGCAGATGAGCCGACAGGAGGCAGCGACTCCCGAGGATTTCGCTGAATTGAATGCACTCCCATGGGTACGGCTGGAAACTAAGCCCACGATCACGCCATGTTAATTAGGAAGAGATAATTATTAATGATATAAAATATGCAACTCCTTCTTAAGTCAAAAAAGTCGTTCACAAAAGGAATGCTCAAAGACTACGTTGCATAATTAAATTACCATATAACTCATCCTTACAACAATAAACATCTTTGTTTGAGATGGTTATTATTAGTCTCCCTTTCTGACTTGAGTTTTTATGGACCCGTGATTTATGGATAATAGTGAATTACATTAGCCTGCTCATAAATGTCAACATGACTATTTACACCATTCCTCTTATAGCCTACCAGGTTATTGAGATCTTTGGTTGGACAATTCTGTTTAATGTTAAAAGAGCTCATTGTAAAGCCTGCTCACAACAAACATGATACAGTAAGTGTTAACATATATATTTTTTCTCAGCGTCAATAGAAATCACAAGTGTAGTTTGCTATTACATGTGTTTATAATTTGTCAACCTCCCAATTTATTTTCTCGAGGGTATTCCACAGGGTTCTGTGTTTGGACCTTGACCTTTTAAATATCTTTGGTGAAATGATCTATTTTACAGTTTTTCCCAGTCCCTTTGGTACTTTCTCAGAATTATCAGAATTAAAGTTCTGCAAAAAGTGCCTTTCTTAAATCAACACGTACAAATAGCAAAAAAAAAATGGATTACCTGCAAAAGCCAGTCCTTAAAATCCTTAATTCATCTCTAAAAAATAAATATCATTGTCAATGAATGTGTCATTGTTATAAGAATTACAAGAGAAAGTGACAACCCAGTCTCATTCTGATTATGTACCCCTATACATTTCTGGAAAGCAGCAAATACATCCCAGGAGCTACTTTTTAATGTTTCTTGTTCTCACGAATCCACCAGAGGCCGCTGTGCATGCCTTTTGAGATAACAAATTTATCTCGTGGCATTCGCGCCTGCTGTTCTTGTGTAATTCCACCAAACGCCACTGTCGACTGACTAACTGACTGACTAATTGTCTTCTCCCACCCCCTAACCTAAACCCAACCCTTAGTGTTTTAAAAAGAAGCGATTGATCCGCCCACCCCCTTCCCTAAACCCAACTGACAGTTTTAAAAAGCAATCCAGAAAAAGAAAAGCCCTCACAGCAGCCTGATTCTTACCACATTTTCAGATTTTACCACACTCTCACCCTGTTATTTACGTGTTTGTTTTATTTTTAGGCTTTTGTTTTTGTCTTACCTGCATAGTGGAACCGTTCTTCACCAGACTCAAACCCTGTCATAATGGTCAAATCCGCTCTGTGTCTTGAATCCTCCAATGTATGTAACGAGCCACTGGACAAACTGGTAACAACTGAAAAGCTGTTCACATGGAAGCAAGCGCTCAGCTGGTATAAGTGCAAAAAGGAACGGCGTCATAACACCTGTATCGTTCGTTTTAAACACGAAATGCAGCCATATGTAACTGTGGCTAAATAATTTGCAATCTACAGAAATGTATATAAGGCTACATTTTCAGAATGAGACTAATTGACAGTTGTGTCATTGTGCACAGATAAGACAGTCACATTGTTTAGTCATGTTGTCAGTATAACGGTGTACACTGGAGGGATTTTGTGATACGCTATGGCTGCAGTTTTGATGGTAAATATTGTAAGTTATAGGTTACACCTTTGTGTATGTGGCAGTTTGATTGGCAGAGACTGGACATGATTCACATGTATGATTTTACTGTTTGTACTGTAATTTGTTGATAGACCATGTCATTCTGACACAGAAAGGAAAAGACAGCACTGCATAGCACAAAAAAACCTAATTGAATCTTGAGCATAGGACAATCTTATAGTCTTCTTGATATTGTGTATAGATGTAAATAAATAGTTTTGTATGTAAAGACTTTTGATGTGAATTAAATGATGAGGGTTGAGACTATTCAACAGAGACCTTTATATCAACGTGAAATAAGCAATTGATAATGTAGGAAACATCAGAGAATTGTACATAATTATTTGCATGGATGCACCAAAGCATTTGCAACTTGTTCAAGGAAATTCGAAACAACTTTTTTGATGTGCACAAGCGACGCAATTCAATTCATGTTTATTTCTATAGTGCTTTAATAATGTAAATTGTCAAAGCAGCTTAACATAGAAGTTCTAATAAACTGAAAATTTGTCAATCCAGTTTTCATAGTTGAAGTTCAGTTTAGTTTAGTTCAGTGTGATTTAATTATCACTGCTGAAAGTCCAAACACTAAAGAGCAAATCCATCAATGCGCAGCTCCACACATACAGTGGTGAGAAACAAACTTCACCAATTGACTAAAGTGAAGGAAAAACCCTTGAGAGAAACCAGGCATGAAACCAGATCAGTTGGACACGGCCATTTCTCCCCTGGCCAAACTTTTTGTTCAAAGCTGCAGTCTAGGCGCTGGAGGCTGGAGAACGCTGGACGTCCATTGTGGAGAAGCTGCAGGTGTGAGTAGGTCACCGGCAATGATGTAAAGATTCAAAGCAACTGAGAAAACCTGTAATGGTCTCAGTTGTTGTTATACAGATGGTCTACAGTTGTGTTACTGCTTCCTCTCCCTTTGCTTTAGTCATTGACATTCTCAACACATCTATTACTGACATCAAAGTTTGGTTACATAACAACTGTTGAAACTCAATAACAAAAACCAAGGTTAGTCTTTTTGGTCCACCATCTCTATTGTAAACATGGGCTTCCTGTACTCGATTTTACACAACTAAAACTGTAGATAGTTTTATTCATGCCAAAATCTCCTTTTGACCTTGAGTTCGGGAAAGGCTGGAAATGTTATGACCATTGTAAATGCTCTAGAGATGACTGTGAAAATGCCAGTTTCTGGCAACAGTAGTATTGTTCAAAGTCACTGAAATCACCTTCCAGCCCCATGCTGATGTTTGTGCTTTAATGTCTCGAACATGTCTGCATGCTGAATACATTCTGTTTTTGCTGTAAGTTGCTGATAAGAAATTTTTGGACATAATGAGATAATGAAATATTAGGCTTTGGAGCAGTTATGAATGTTTATTCATCTGTTTGAATTGAACTACATTTTTAGGTTAAGATGAGCTGATTGTGAATCTTTCACATCACAAACTAAATGTCACTGATCACCATGAGACTGATTTTCTGGGCAAAAGCATCTAAAAATATAAATGTATCATCCTATTTAAGTCAGAAGCCTACATCAACCAAGTTACAATTATCAACACTAATTTATCACAAGCAAAATTAAAGATACACTACCTTTACCGGCAAAACTATTCACAAGTTGCACCTAAGACAAAAGCAGAGTAAAGTCAAGACTTTCAAGACTTACAGTTAGCTGAGGATTGGTATTAAGCTTGGCATTCTGTCACAGGAGAGAGCCCTGAGCTTATACAGTAAGATCCTCAAACACTGGGCTCCCTCCTATTAGCAGGGTGAGAGGGGAGTTTGAGCTCAGGTAGATCTTGATGAACTCCCCCGACTTATTTCTGACTAATGACAGATATAGGGATGGCTAAGGAGAGTTATACAGCTAGCTAAGAGCTTGATTTTTTCAAGACGAAGATACTGAAATAAGAAACTCTGGTTATTTATAGTGAGTTAGTTAGGATTCATCTGATTGGTAAATCCTTTATAGGCTAATACGGGTCCAGATGTGGGCAATCAAGCATGTAAACCTCTCGAAATTAGTTTATAAATAAACTTGACTTAGTTCATAGAAATTAATTTATAAAGGAATATTTATGACAATAAAAAAAAAGAAACCAAAATACAGTGGCTTTCCAGAGTTTTTTTAAATGTCTTGGAGAAGTTGCCACATTCATTAGTTCTTCTCCAGTTTGTTCTGCGATGATATGGTGAGATCAGATCTCTGTGTGGAGTAATGGCTGCTGTCAGACTTTTTGTGCAAACAAAAATCGGATATTTAATAGCTCTGATTTAAATAGTTTGTTACAGCTAAAGAAATAAATAACTGACCAGTGTTCTCAGTGTTGGGGAATCTACTCTGCTACTCAGACTACTCTTCAAAAGACCCCTCCGTCAAGCTCCTGAAGTTTGCAGACGACTGCTTTATTCAGGTTGTTGACAAGCCTGCTTACAGACAGGAGGTTAAGGAGCTGGCTGTCTGGTGCAGTCACAACAACTTGGAACTCAACACACTCAAAACAGTGGAGATGATAGTGGAGTTCAGGAGAAACCCCCCTGCTCTCCCCCCACTGAGCAACACTCTTTCAGGTTCCTGTGCACCACCATCTCTCAGGACCTTAAGTGGGACACTCACATTGACTCTATTGGCAAAACAGAGGCTGTACTTCCTTTGTCAGCTAAGGAAGTTCAACCTTTCAAAGGAGCTGCTGAAACTGTTCTATACCTCCATCACTGAATTCATCCTCTGCACGTTGATAACTCTCTGGTTTGGCTCAGTTACCAAATCTGGAGCAGGCTGAACTGGCGATCTAGGCAAAGAATGATCATGCCGCCCTCAACCCGAAACTGAAAACGAAAGTGACCGATTCACAAAGTGAAGATTCCGAGGGAGGGAGGCAGGGAGGGAATGGGGGTGGCGCCTAGGTCACCTCTATGGACACGCCGGCCGAAAACTGCCAAAGACTACGTTGGATAGTTCGAACTGCTGAGTGCAACCTCCACAGGTACAACTCTCCACACTTTTCAAGAACTGTACTTATCCAGAGCAAAATCACTCTGGACCCCTCACACCCAGCACACTCTTGAACTCTTAAGTTGATGTTACAGAGCACTGTGCACCAGAACAGCCTGACACAGAAATCGATTCTTTCCTCCAGCAGTCCATCTTTTGAACACATTAGGATTGTAATTGTGAAACAAACATCACTACTTTTATATACATATACACTTTTTTATTTAACAACATATTTTGCATGCCAATAACAGCTGCACATGTAACATACCTGTACATTCATTCATTCATTTTCTTTTCGGCTTAGTCCCTTTATTAACCCAATTTACCTGTACCTGTAAAACTTACCCAATTTACCTGTAACGCATGTCTTTGGACTTGGGGGAAACCAGAGCACCTGGAGGAAACCCACGCGAACGCAGGGAGAACATGCAAACTTCACACTGAAATGCCAACTGACCCAGCTGAGGCTCGAACCAGCAACTTTCTTGCTGTGAGGCGATCATGCCACCATAACAACTTAAAATTATAATATCAAAGCTTAGTGTTTTATTACATAGTTTTCAAATTTATCAGACTGTCAAGAGTCAAAGTACAAAACTGCAACAAATGAAGCATGGGAATAACAAAAGTAACAATTCAGAAATAAAAAGTGACAACTTTGTTTTGGCAAGAAATTTAATTGACGCCTTCACATGAAAGTTCTTATTAAAGAACTTTCTTATAAAAATGAAAGAATTATTTATGGGTTCATTTTCAACTGCAGTTAATTATTATTTGAATATATTATTAACAAATAATCCATTGCATCCACTGCATAAATATGCTGAATAAATTGGCGATTCATTCTGCTGTGGTGACCCTTGATTAATAAAGGGACTAAGCCAAAAATAAACAACTAAATGAAATAATAAGGAGCAACCCAGTGGCTCAGTGGTTAGCACTGTCGCCTCACAGCAAAAAGGTCACTAGTTTGCATGTTTGTGGGTTTCCTCCAGGTGCTCCGGTTTCTCCGACAATCCGAGGTCATGTGGTATAGGTCTAAATTGGTCATAATGTATGTGTGTGAATAAGTGTGTATGGGTGTTTTCCACTACTTGGGTGCAGCTGAAAGGGCATGCGTTGTGTAAAACTTATGCTGAATAAGTTGGCGGTTCATACTGTTGTGGCGACCCCAGATTAATAAAGGGACTAAGCCGAAAAGAAAATGAATGAATGACAAAATAAATAGTAAACCATGAGATGTGTGATTCATCAATGGATGGCTGTAATATACTGTTGTGGAGTTTGGTGTTGTAAGACGATGCTGTACTGCTTCAGACCACTGTTGGATCTCTAAATGAAATGTAGCTGTTGACAAGCTACTTACTAGAAAATGTAGTTAGCTACTGGAAAAGCTACATTAGTAAAAAAATGAAGCTATGTTTGAGCTGCTTAGCTAGCTATCAATCTGTTCTATAAAACTACTATAGAACAGATTGATAAAACTGTTATTCCTCACAGTATTTTTGCACGACCTTTTAAGTCAGTCAGTAATATTGATCAGAGTAAGGTGCAATTTCAGAATATGAAAAGTATTAATCTTTTATGTGTGCATTCATGTTTAATGGAGAAAATCAATGACAGATTTCAAACGAAGCATGATGCTGTCGAAAAAATAAAATCTTTTATTAAAAACTCGCTGTGTTATAGCGCCAGCTGGTGGCCGCGCCGTTGCTCTGCAGGCGGTGAACCGGTTCACTCGGCGGTGGACTCGCTGACCCCGCCGCTCCGCCTGTGCCTTCAGGAGCTCCGCGCCTCTGACTGCGCAGCGGCCGCCAGGTGCTCAAATAGACACTTGAAGACCCCCCCAAAATGCTCTTTTGCCGAGCGGGTATACGACCATTTGTAAACATAATATCTCTCCGAAAGCTGCAGACTGTGGAAAGCTCCGTCCTTTTAATCACGTCCCTGTCGCTTTAAAGCTCCAGACAAAACGACCCATATGATTTTCGACCTCCAATCATCATCTTCATCATCGTCATCATCATCACCGCTCTTCTCATGCGGACATGGCGAAAAAGCACAGCTGTCTTGAGAAGAAGAGTGGATATATAAATGACAGCGGTTTTCCTGCAAACAGAGCGGTGAAATGCTGAGCAGAGCAGCCGCTTCTCCTTCGAGGCAGAGACCGCTGGATCATCATGGTAGGAAGAAATGACTGACTGACTGTTGTTTCTGTTTGTTGTTGGCCTGCAGAGTCTGAAGGACTTCAGGCTCGCCTGAAAGATGATGATGTCTGAAATACTGATGTGCTGACATCATGCACAACAGTGCAGAGCTTCAACAACTTTTGTCTACTTTTGGTCAGAATCTTGATGTTATCAATACTTCTGTTCAGATATTAATACAGCTTTACTAAATGAACCACCTGATCCATCACATAGGGAATTCTAGACTTAAATTAGCAGTGTTGTGTTTGTAAGATGCTGCTAACTAGATCTTAAAATTAAAATTAAAATATAGTTCAAAATAATAAATAATACAATAAACCTTGAAAGCAAATAAAAACCGTTTAATTGTCAAAATAATTCAAATGTAAATATATAAAAAAATGTTTACCCATAACAGATGTGCTATATTAATAATATATGGACAATATCTTCACTGCTAAACATGGATATATATTACATAACAGATGTGATGTAATTTTCTTTGCAATGATTTATATATTGAAAATTTAATAACAGCTATAATACTTTCATAAACATTTTAACCGATGTGGTCTTTTTTTTAAATGTGTTCTCACAATTAATAAAGTTATTTAGTAGTTTCGTTCGGGTATTAGGTAGGGGGATGTTGAATGTGATCATGTTGATATGTTATTTACACTAATAAACGTCATACTTTGTACCAATAAACAGCCAAAATGTCCATAGAACAGGCAAGCTAATATGCTAAATGCTAAACTAGTTAATAGTCAGAAATGGTCCCCATACTTAGACGTTATCAAAGTTTATGCAATGGGCTATATGCACAGCTGGTGTTTTTCAGCTAATGATGAACTTCCGGTGAAAGCTTTATGTGACTACTTTTAATTCCATAAGGTTCCTTTTTACAGCATCGATGTTGTAATGTAATTATAATGCATTCAGTTAAATAGGCTTAAGCATCTATTTAGTTGTTAAAACGTAAAAAGAGATGAAACACTGTTTAAATGCAGGCCCTGTCATTAGCTGCAGGCTAGCACAGAAACTCCAATGAAAATACTGTGGTAAAATTAATTTGCATATTTTAAAGACATGGCGCGGGAAAATATCATTTAATGCAGTGCTTCTTGTTTGGTCGGATTTTACTTTAAATCGTATCTTAGCCAGGCAGTGAAGATCACTGTTTATAAAGCAATCAGATCTTAAACGCTGTGGTTTTGTATGGGAATGACAATTAATCGGAATTCCTGGGGCAGTCTGTGGGCGTACACCCCATTACGATACAATTACAATATTTACTTTGCTGTATAGCAACTTGTAAACGCAGAGTTATTAGTTCTAATTTGATTACAATGTCTCATCAGGATTTTTGTAAGTTACCAGCTGCTATCAGCATTTTTGATGATTTTGACCCAAATTTGACAACCCTAAGAGTTCTTTCTGCTAGGAATATATAAATATTATATTTCATAAAGCTTCTACTTTTAAATTACCAAGCCTCTACTTTAAAAAAATAAATATCTTTATGTGCTCATGTTTTAGAACCATTTGAATGCAGATAGGTTTGAACATTTTTGTCAAAAAACAAAAGAAAACAATAAATACTTTTTAAGACATATTATATATTAATATAAATTTTAACACGCATACATTCAGGTCAATGGGGTGGATCATGTAGCTGAGGTAATCCCTGATAATGAAGGGAGTAAGTCAAAGGAAAGCTGTTCAAATAATTATCTTTATACAGCATCTGATCTAGACTTTCTCTGATTGTCTTATTCTTTTGTCCCAAGACATCTAGAAGTCATGTAACTCATTCAAGACATCCGCTCGGGCTTCCTTAATCATATTATACCTAAAACACGGATTGCCATAAAACTTGTCAATGAGAGGCAAGTGTTGTCTCTTAATTGACAAGTTATCTTTAAAAATGTCTCGTCAATGCTTGGGTTAGAATTCAAATCTAAAAGCGATGTGCATCTCACTTTAATCTGTTTCACTTTGACAGCTGATTGTGGAGAAGACTGCCGATCACCCGTCCGTGGAGTTCTCCATCGTTGAGGACGTGGCCCTTCACTGCACCTTCCTGATGGACAGGCTGAACGAGCAGCGCCTCTTCCAGCCAGATCTGTGCGACGTGGACATCGTCCTCCTGCACCACCACAAGTCCTTCCAGGCTCACAAGGGCATCCTGGCAGCCTTCAGCCCTTTCTTCCACTCGCTCTTTGCCTCCAGTAAAGACCTGAGGCGTGTGGAGCTCTCGCTGGACGCCCTCAAACCTCAAGGCCTACAGCAGATCCTCAACTTCATCTACACCTCCAGGCTGCTGGTCTCCGGCTGCAATGCTCAGGATGTCCTGAGAGCTGCCACTGTGCTCCAGATGAGCAACATTGCTACATCCTGCAGCGAACTCATCTCCCGAGGCTCGGTGGAGATCAGTGTCAAAGATCAGCAAAACAAACCTGAGGGCAACTGGAGCGATTCGGTGAAGGACATCAAGCAGGAGAAGGACACAACGTGTGCCAGGATCTGCGGAGGGAAGAGTGAAGGAAACCCGTATTCTGTTCAGGTTGCAGATTTGCAGTCGGTGCAAGGAGGTATTTGTAAAGTGGAAGGAAAGGAACCGAGGAACCCTGAAGATCCTGATTCATTCAATGGAGAGCAGATTATTGTGGAATTAAATCTGAATAACCAGACTCTGAATGTGTCGAAAGGTTTGGATGGAAGCTCAGCAGCTCAGTCTCCATCGGGACAGCAGCTTTCTGGAAAAGAAAAGAGCAGTGATGGGACTTTTGAAGAATCGAGAAACAATGTGACTTTGGAGGAGGAGGAAGAGGAGGAGGACGGTGAGCAAAGTGAAGATGAGGATGACGATGATGATGTGAGACTTGAAGGCACTAGCGAGGATGAAGGCGAGTCTGTTTTTTTGTCGGAAATGAAGAGCCGGGCCTCTGCTCCACTGGTCTCCAAGAGGAGCTGTGCGAGAGCAAGGCAAGAGACGGATCGTGATCCTAGCGAGGAACGTCTGGATCAGGACGGTTTTGAGAGCTTCAGCTGTCTGAGGTGCCCGAAGACGTTCAATAACCGCTGGTACCTGGAGAAACACATGAACGTCACACACAACCGCATGTGTGTCTGTGAGAAGTGTGGCAAACGCTTCCTCCTGGACAGCGAGTTACTGCTGCATCAGCAGACTGACTGCGAGAAGAGCATTCAGGTGAGTCAACACAATGGTTAATCAGCGGTTAGTTTAGTTTAGATTTGCACTTAACAGCACTCAAATCTTAATGGTTTTTAAAATTTTAGTACCAAACTCGACACTTTTGAAACACACAAGCATATATATATATATATATATACATACATACATACATACATACATACATACATACATACATACATACATACATACATACATACATACATACATACATACATACAAATATACATACATATTTATATTGTAATGGTAACTAGCTGGTAGTTTATATATATATATATATATATATACATACATACATACATACATACATACATACATACAAATATACATACATATATATTGTAATGGTAACTAGCTGGTAGTTTAGCTTAGCATTGCAGTCTAATTAGCAAATATTGTCTTAAATAGTCTGTGCATATCACTTCATCGACGTATTCAGTCTTAATTTTAAAAAGTTGCATCAGTTTTTGATTTAAATCAAAAACAATAGTTTTGGACATGCAAGTTAATAAAGCAATGAAAAAAACAAATAAAAATAAAGTATCTTGTGTGTGACAAGTTCTGTTTGGTCTGTTCACTTGGCATTCTGCTCCTACACCTGTTACATATTTTTTGTGTTTTGTGTTTTATGTTGAGTTTTTTTCCTCTACACAAATTGCATATAAATAGATAAACCACATAAACAAATACCAGAATTAGTTTACAGGCACAAACTAACTGGAAATTACTAGTTTTCTTCATCCAGTTTTCTGTTTCCAATCCATGTTTATAGAAATATTCTTTCAAAGATACATTAAAATCCTCCTTTATGTTTTTATTATAGCTATTTTGTTATTGTCTGCCTTCAAAGCTCCTCTGTAAACTTCAGTTAATGCCAAATTTAGCTGCACAAATTATTTGCAAAACATCCATAAATGAAAACATTACTCCCATATTACTAAACATCAATACAACAATGCTTTTTCTTACACACAAGACACTCAATTATTTTTCTCCTTCTTATTATTTGATCTTTGTATTGACTCCTATCTTAAGATATAGGAAATGTGTGACCTTGTACCACATAACATAATAATATTTTGCTGCTTGTTTTATGTTTAATCGACTTAAATATGTTAACTTGATTAATTTGTGTTAGGACAACCTGACGGAATTGTGTGAAACTTATTCTTTTACAGTGTAAGTTGCAGAGGTATATTTGTAGGAAAAGTCAGAAGTACGTTGTATTAGTCAAAACGATCGATTTGTATTTTATGCCAGAATTCGTAGGAATAATAAATAAAGATAATGTTCCATGAAGACATTTTGTAAATATTTTTTTGATTAGTAAAATGCATGGCTAAGAACTATAGGTAAAATGTTTCTGATTTAGTTTTTTTAACCCTCAGATTGCAGATTTTCAAATAGTTGTATCTCAGAAAAAAATGGCCCAATGCTAACAAACACTGCATCAATGAAAAGCTTATTTATCCTTAGCTTTTTTTTCTTATACTTGCACTATATTCATCATTTTCCGTAATCTTTTTCTCTCTAGAATTTGCACAGATTTTATGAGGTCTCGAGACTTTAGTCATGCAGCTCGTTATTTATGACCTCATGACCAGAGGATTTGCAAAACAGTAACAACATTGTTTAATATCTCTGCTTAAAACCCATTGTTTAATGCAGGCTTTAATGTGATAGCTAGCATTAGGTCTTTTAGGCTGTATCTATGATTATCGTTGTTTAATTTCAGTTGATTTGTTGTGAAAAGTCCTTGAGTGTTCTGTAAAGTGCCTATAAAAAAGAATGAATAATATTGGGTTTTATTGTAGTTTTAAAATCTAAAAGGTTTATAATAATGCATACATTCAATATTTCTCTATTATTTCCAAAGTTGAATACTCTTGCATTTGTTAATGTGCTCCTGCACCTCTATTTAAGGACAAAACATTATTATTACGCATACAGCAAATGTTTTTTAAAAGTCATCGCAGCTAATATTACAATCTTGTATACTTATTACTTTTTTTTTTTTCTTTCATTTAGTTTTTGGCTTATTTTCATCTGTAAAATTGTTTACATTTTATGACACAAATATTTTTGGTTAATGAAATGAGCACTTTGTCCATCAAATCAAAAACATGGTACAATTTGTAGATTTGTAAAAGCTTATTTGTTTATAGCATGAACATCTATACACAAACAAGTAAAACCAATACAAACACTGAAGTAAATACGAAACAATTCACATGATTGTATCTGAAAGTATATGTTTGTCTGGTTTCGCAGTGTCTGACTTGTGGAAAAGCCTTTAGAAAGCTGTGGTCGCTTCATGAGCATAATAAAATCGTTCATGGCTACGCCGAGAAGAAGTACACTTGTGAGATCTGTGAGAAGAAATTCTACACGATGGCTCATGTACGCAAGCACATGGTCGGTGAGTTGGGTTATTGTTATTTTCACTCTTAGATCTTTACTCACAGTCTTTCTTATACTCTAAAAGGTAATGGCCCAGCAAACCATTTTGTTTTTAATAGATGTCTAATAGACATCTTAATGTAGACAGCTTGGCTAAAACAAGGTTAAACTTGGACTATCAATGAAAATCTAACAGACATCTAAGAATAGCTCAAAACTAGACTAGTGGACAAATAGATAGACTTTATATGTGCAATCAATCTTTTATGTTTATTTGATGACTAGTCTAGTTTTGGCCTATTCTTAGACATCTAATAGATTTTCACTGACAAACCCAAAATTAGATTTGTTTTAGCCAAGACGACTTTGTTTAGATGTCTATTAGATATCTTTTAAAAGCAAAAAATGCTTGCTGGGATGTTTGGCAGTCTGATGTCTCTTGCATTTGCTTATCTTCAGCCCACACAAAAGAGATGCCATTCACCTGCGAGACCTGCGGCAAGTCCTTTAAAAGGAGCATGTCTCTGAAGGTCCACTCGCTCCAGCATTCAGGAGAAAAACCTTTCCAGTGTGAGGTATAAAAATTGATGCTCAAATTAAGCCATATAGTAGGAAAAACTGTGCCTGTTTCTATTGTTGGATTTAAAGGTGTCATATACTGCAGTGATTCAATATGTTAAATTGTTCTCTGATGTCTACACAGTAGGTATGTTTCTTAGATAAGTAAAAAAAATATTCAGAAATGTTTTTGTGCTTATTTATTACCCAATATAATAAATCAGAAGGTCATTATTGACCATATTTGGAAAGGTTATGTTAATGAACTTTGTTCTAACCGGATGGAAATTAAAGGTTATTGATTTTTAACAATAACTGCTAAACCTTTAAAATTTGTGTAAAGCAGAAGTTGCTGCAACTTTTATTTCGATATGTTGATGTACTTCCAAATGAATAAGAATATTGAGTGAGAGGCGGGGCTTTCTTTTTGAGCAACATTCCCTTAAAGCAAATGGTAAGAGGGGCATGGTTAAGAACATTGTGGCTGACATCACCAGAGAAGGCTCGCCACTCCAAACTTTAAAGCAAACGGTCAGACGTTGATTGAAAATGATCAACACAAACATTTTTCAGTGGATTAAGTTGCACGAATTAATTATTTATTGTAATTGTGTTAAGAATTACAATATGCACTAACAAAATAAACATTGTAAATTTTGATTTAACATAGACTTAAAAATTATTGTTTCTACTATAGATAAAAATGCTTTAATTATTATTATTATTATTATTTTTAAATCCAAGGGTGAACAGATATTGGGAAAAATTGTTCTGGAACCAGAGCCCAATTAACTTCATGTTTGTAAATTTAGTATGTTAGCCCAAAGCAAAACAATCTGTTTAATAGTGTTGTAATGTTTTATTAGCATCAGTTATTAAGTGCTGGAAATGTTTGAAACCTGTTCACTTGTTGTCCTTCAGGTGTGCAGTGAGCGTTTTCAGTATAAATACCAGCTGCGCTCTCACATGAGCATCCATATCGGACACAAGCAGTTCATGTGTCAGTGGTGTGGGAAGGACTTCAATATGAAACAGTATTTCGATGAACACATGAAGACGCACACAGGTGAAATGCTCTTAAGCAATTATCACACTTTTTCAAATCCTTTTTACAATGGATTCCGATGATTGTTCATTGTTTATAATCTTTAAATAGGTACACCTTGTTGATGGTTAATTAATCATGGACATCAGTAATGTGCACAGTTTTAAGACAGTTGAGTAATTTTACATTAAAAAAATTTGAGTATATTGAAGAGAGAGGGAGAGAGTGCACACGTCCATCGTGTAAACGATTTACATTTAATGCATACATCATGAAGGCAAACTGTTTTGGTCAAACTGTGCATAAATCACATCACCCAATATGGATATTACTCAAAAAAGCTTTGGTTAAAAAGGATGGTCAAATGTGAACTATTCTGTCATAAACTATAACAATTTTACTTTTTAAAAAAATTAATAAATTACTTTTTTAAACGAAGGTGTATGCCGCTCATTAAAAAAAAAAGTCTGAATATTGTCACAAAATTTAAATTGATCATCAAAATCTGCTGTGTCAATGTGGCCTATGGCATAATAAGCCTTTAACAAGTCATAGACATTCATCATTAATTGTTGGCCCTTTCATGTTCTCCATATTTTGCTAAATATACACAATATTCTATGTACATTTGCAAAGAAAAAAAACATGCTTTCATGATTTCCTATTGGGTGGGGACCCACCCTTTTGTTTTTAGCAGTGTTGAGGGTAATGTATTAAAAGTAACAGGAGTTAATAGTAATCATTACTCTTTTACATAACTACTAAAATAAGGCATTACTTTATGATTTCCACCTAAAAAAATCCAAGTTAGATAAAAAAACTAATGGTAGTTACATTGTTTTTTAATTAATTGTGTTGAAAAAGGTGACGCAGTGGCGCAGTAGGTAGTGCTGTCCTCTCACAGCAAGAAGGTCGGTGGGTCGTTGGTTTGAGCCTCGGCTGGGTCAGTTGCCATTTCTGTGTGGAGTTTGCGTGTTCTCCCTGCGTTCGCAGGGGTTTCCTCTGGGTGCTCCGGTTTCCCCAACAGTCCAAAGACGTGGTATAGGTGAATTGGGTTGGCTAAATTGTCCGTAGTGTATGAGTGTGTGTGGATAGATGTTTCCCAGAGATGGGTTGCAGTTGGAAGGGCATCCGCTGCGTAAAATCTTACTGGAGAAGTTGGAGGTTCATTTCGCTTTGGCGACCCCAGATTAATAAAGGGACTAAGTCGAACAGATAATGAATGAATAAATGAATGTGTTAAGAAAAGTCAGGAGAATGTGCAGAAACTGTGTACATTGTGTAATCCTGATACACACTGTAGCTGTAAAAAACAGATTCACCATCACTTGAAAATTATTGCTGAAGAGTGTTGACCTTTTTTTTTCCAAGCCTTTAATTATTTATGCAATTCAGAAAAACAGCACTACTGAAAGGTCTGTTTAAGCTGCGTCTCAACTGTACAAGATGTAATTTTACTTTTCTGAGTTTATTAACTCATATTTTACTTTCGATGTTAAAGGACTTTACATTTGTCAATAATAATAAAAAATAATACTATATATTAGGGATGCACCGATATGGATTTTTTGGCCGATATCAATAACCGATAACTCTTTAGACTTGGAGGCCGATAGCCGATATGTATATATATATATATATATATATATATATATATATATATATATATATATATATATATATAGGCCGATTATTATAAATATTTTATGATGTTATATTTTTATACAGCGCCACTTACCTGTTTTATAATGATTTGATCAGCTGGCATCAACCGTCAATTTCTTTGCTCTGCTCAGTATGACGGGTTGATGGCTGCTGATGCTCTGAATCTCCGAAATTATAAATATTGAATTAAAAAGTACTATTGTACTGGCCTCACTAAGTCTGGCTGCTTAGTTATCCAGTCAGTTAACATGAAAAAGTCATAAAAAAATCACAGATGACATGCTGATACATCCTTTTCTCATCCTTTATTGCTTCTAACTTGTAAAAACTGTGAAACACAAATAAATGGCAACATCAACTCAATGAATTCTGTTGACATTAACAATCAATTATACAAACTAATAACATTCTTTGACAGAAAACCCATTGTATTTATGTTATCTCTCAAAAAAAATAATACTTAATATAATAATAATAATAATAATAATAATACTAGGGTATTGCCCTCTTTAAACTATACTGTTAGCAGGTTTTCCTTGTCGCAATAAGCTGCTAAATAACTGCCATGCCACATGTCTTTGCCGAAAAAGCTAAAATGCTAAAATGAAACCAAAACTTAAGGCAATAACTTCAGCTACTGACATCAACCACTAGATGTCGCCTTAACTCCATAGAAACATATCTATTATGAAAAACATACATTGCCATCCTTTCAATACTATTAACTGTGTTTATGGTTTTCTGAGACCATAACAACTATTTTTATAAATAAACTGCATAGTTGCAATCTAAACAACTACATTATCACATAAAAAGCCTCAAAAGTACATTATGTTGTCCAACAGCTGCAATGTTTAGCAAACTGTAGTGATTCTATTGATTTGTTGTCACTCTGTGTGGGCGGAGTAATACACAAGGGTGAAAAGGCTGCACAAGTGTTATGGCAGAATATGACACAAAACAACTCAAAAGTAACAGGATGCATTACTTTTCCTAAAAGAAATACTTAAGGTAACACATTTAGTTACTCTTTTAATGGTAATACAAAACTGTAATGAATTACTTTAAAAATAACTTTTGTCAGCACTGGCTTTTAGTGACATTTTCACGTTTTGTCATGCTGGTAACAAAGTGCAATTGAAGACTATCAAAAGGGTAATAATCCTTAAACAGGTAGTTCACCCCAAACAAATCAATTCTGATTTTATTTACTCTCCTTTAACTTGTTCCAAACCCGTTTGACTTGTGTTGAACTCAGAAGAAGATATTTTGAAGAACCATTGACAACCATAGTAATTTTTGTCGCTACTATGAACAGATTTTCAGCTTTCCTCAAAAGATCTTCTGTGTTCAACAGAAGAAAGAAGCACATAAATGTTTGGAACCACCTGAGGCTGAGTAAATAGTAAATTTTCATTTTTTTGAGTGAACTGCCCCTTTATTAATAAAAATAAAAATTTGTGAAAAATCTCTATTCATTCTGAGAAGTCTGCTGGCTCTTTTCAGGAGAGAAACCGTATATATGTGAGATCTGCGGAAAGAGTTTTACAAGTCGACCAAATATGAAGCGGCACCGGCGTACACACACTGGAGAGAAGCCTTACCCCTGTGAAGCCTGCGGTCAGCGTTTTCGCTTCTCCAACATGCTGAAAACTCACCGTGAGAAGTGTTTGCAGGTCAGAAACCCTTTGCTGCTGGACTCCTCCACCATTGTCAATCACACAAACCAGGACCTGCCGGGGGGGATGGAGACACTGGGGGACGTCAGCCCACATCTGCACGGCATGGTCTCTTTTCCATCATCTGTGCTTCACTCGGTCGAAGGAGCACCGTCAAATTCTCATCTGCGTTCTGTTATGCCGCTCTTCTCCACTGGAAGGACAGACTCCAGGATCCTGTAATGACTGCTTTGTATTTTTATATAATTTCATTGTGAGTTTGACATTTCATGTTAGTGTTGTCTGTTTCATGAGTCTTATTCTGAAATCCCTGTCATTCCCATTTTGATGGAGTCCTCTGTGCTTTCATAAACCCTAGTTAGACAAACAAGTATTAGGGAAAATGCTAAAGGTATTACCCAAATGTAGAGTACTAAATGTTTGACATTTACTCTTCAATATGCAGTATATTTGTAGAATTATAAATAAGACTAAAGCATATTCATCATGGCAAGTCTTTTTAACATTACACCTATTAAACACAGGTTGATAACTGGCAGAGTGCAGTCAGGGTTCTGCACCCAGAAGCTGTCCCATACAAACCCTACAGCCTTGAGAGGTCTGTGCAGGATTGTTTGTTTTTTTGTTCCGCTCCCGCTGGGCCTGTACAGCTCTCTTCTTTGAGTGACAATGACTTAATCGCAAGTTTCTGGCTTACACTAGGCCTACGAATTATTACAAATATAATAAAACATTATACAAATGTTAACTATGTTCATAGTGAGCTATATTCACATTATCTAATTACTTACAGTACATGACAGAAAGCATAAGCGCTGTAAAAAGTAGCCTAGAGCGCTATCTGCTGTTAAAGCTCAGAAAATCAATATTACAGAGAGAATTGCGTTAGTTTAAAAATCAAATTCAAATCCATCAATCATAAAACATTAATTTATTATCCCAGCACTAGTATCTTTTAAAAAGGTACTAGTAACTAAATAATAAGTACTTGTATCTATTAATAAGTAGACTTAAAATGTACTAACTAAACAACAAGCACTATATCTGTACTAAATGGATTGCTATTAAGTATAGTATAGAATAATTGTTAAAACGGCTTGGCATGTATTCGGTTCATAAAGCTTTCAGTTTGTAATTTATTGTTTGTAGATGCTTTATTTCATGTCTTCGTTTGTTTATAGGCCCAAGTATTGTTTGACTTTAGAGGGTGATATCCTGTTGTATGTATACACACAGGTCTTGATGAAGGAAATGTTCTGTCAGATTAGCTCGTTGGTGTAAAGCAGGGGTCACCAATCTCGGTCCTGGAGGGCCAGTGTCCCTGCAGAGTTTAGCTCCAACTTGCCTCAACACACCTGCCTGGATGTTTCAAGTATACCTTGCAAGATCTTGATTAGCTTGTTCAGGTGTGTTTAATTAGGGTTGGAGCTAAAATCTGCAGGACACCGGCCCTCCAGGAACAAGTTTGGTGACCACTGGTGTAAAGGGTTTCATGAACATTTTTTTTAGTTCATACATTTTTGTTGTGTAGATGGTGTGTGTAGATGCCACACATTCAAGCACACTAGACATGTTGACGTCCACCATCTTGGGGAACGGTCACAGTGGTGAAAGTCATTAAGCTTTCCATGATGCCATAGTATTGAGTAGACGCTAAATAGGCATCTGCACACAGGTATGTGTACTTGTGGTTTGTTTTCAGAAGCACCTTAATTATAGAAGTACATTTATTCCCCTTTAAAGAATCTAAATTACGAATGACTAATCTGAATGTGTTGACAATTTAAAAAAGTTTTGTTTAAAAAACTTTTGAATAAATATCAAGGGTTTATGTATTTGACGATGCTCAGATTTATGACTGTTTAATCTGTTATTGTTGTTATTGTTGTCATAAAAACCATATAAGCCCTTAAACAGTTGAATTTATTGAGGTTGTATTATATTATTAATAAAAATATCAGCTATTCTCCAAAACAATCTAGCTAAATCCAGTTCTCACATTCTTCTATAGCTTTATGTTCTGAATTAAACATTTATTTTGTATAATTTTTAATTGACCATTTGCATTTCTAGACCGTCTCTAAGTCAAGTCTTATTATCAAAACAATAAATTTGAGACGCATAATTACACTTTCACTCGTTATTTATTTTCACATGGCTATAAAGAGTATAAGACAATGTGTACACTGCCACTTTCTTTAACGGACATTTATGATTTTTGTTAATGTTCTCATGTTAGTTTGGTTATTTTCTACAGTAAATTAGGTTATTGTTCAGTCATTGACGTTCATTTCTATCTTTTTTTATGCAAGAACTTAATCGCAAAAACATTGGTCATAATTGTAAAATGTTAAATTGAAGTTGTCTCTAAAATAACATGTTAAAATGATAAATGTTCATGAATATGTATACAAACTTGAACCTATTCAACATTTAACAAAGCCTTTGTATAAAAAAATGGATGGTCTTGTGTTTGTCTCCACCAGCTGAGTTTTCTTGGAACAGCAGTGTTTTTTTTTTTACACCATTTGCATCATAAAAGATATTCTGAACACTCAAGCCCCGAAATTTAGAACGACATGGTTATAAAACAACAAACTAACAACATTTAACCAGCAAAGTCTGTGATATTTATTTAGGCCTAAGTATACATCAGTTTTTACATTCTCTCTACTGTGTTTGCAATTAGTCAGCAATGCATATTTCATCATCAATTTTAAAAGGAGAATCTACGCAAAAATAAAACGGAAATGTGTTGAACACAAAATATATTTTTGAAGAATGATGAAAACTGGTGTCCACTAACATTCATAGTAGGCATAGACATGCTATGGATGTTTATACCAGTTTTGCAACATTATTCAAAGTATATTTTTTGAATGAAGAAACTCAAAACAGGTTTGAAACAAGTGGCGGCTTATAAACATTAGTTTTTTTGTTTTTGTTTTTTTGGGCAGACTATCCAGGGCAATTTGGTATGGAAAGCAATTAGGCCCAAATGTCTTTAAACGGTATGAAGATGGTGTTGTAATATAAGACTAACATATTTCAATATGTGACTCAATAGTATATTGGGCTACAAATAATAACCATCAGATTTTATGTTCATTTATCATAATAGAAGGCCACACTAGCATGTATGTATATTCAAACACCAGACATTACATCTTCTTGTGTACATCTTCTCATATAACACTTCTTAAATTACCGCTCAGCAGTCAAAATTCTTATATGCACAGAAAGAAACGTGACATGCCTTGCCTTGACATGGTCAAACAGTAAAAAAAAATCTGGGTTCCACACAATTCCTTTAAGTCAACATAATAATTTTTACCAATTCAAGTGGATTGAATATAACAAAATTAAGTTGTCCCTAAAAACTGTGTTGTTTCGACTTATTTTAAATGAGCAGTTTGAACAGGCAGCAATATTCTTTTTGTGTGTGTGTGACATGACAGATGACGCAAGTTCATGCAGACTTTTGTCCCTCACAACCTTCCATTGTGTTTTATGCATAACTTGGGTATAGTCATTAAAATGTTTGTCTAAATTTGCTACACTATTGAAAAGGGTTGATATTTTACAGCCAGAAAAGAAATAAAAAACAGTAGAAAAGCAAAAAACAAACTACTGAAGACAGCAAAAACCATTGATAGTTTTCAGTCATGTGACCTGTGAGAAGACCTGGCAGGCAAAACAATGGGCTGTAATGGCAGGTTACACTAGGCTCCCCAAAGAAACGCAGCACAAGCTGGTAAGATTTCCTTCTGTTTCGAGCTATGAATATTTGAATCACGTCAACATAAAAAAAAAAAAAAAGATATGAACACAAACTTTAGGCCACCTGTGATCCATATACCGCACCTGCCACTGTATTTTAGTCATTGAAAATTTTCAGCAATGTTTACATCAATCTGGTCAAGAATCCTTCAGCAATTTGGTCACTGTTTGATGGCAACATAACTGTGAGTGTCTGCTTTTATATTTGGTGTTTGTTTATTTTTCTTAGATTAAAAGATTAATAGATCTTGGAAAATGCTAATGTTAGCCTGATAGCACTGAAAGTCTGCTTCCCACTCTGCAAATCGGCATCCAAATTTCCTGAACACATGAAGTAGTGTACTACACCAGTGGTGAGGATAAAAATAGTAGACAACAACAACATGCAAATGAAAAGCCATAGCCTTTAAATTATTGTTTTTTTTTTTCATAGGATTAGTGTGTTTACATTAGATTAACAGCACAGCAATAGCACTAGCTCCAGCAGATTGATTTTAGAACCATTTTCTGTCTGAAAAATTATGTTGTGTTTAGTCTGCAAAAAGGCTGCTCAGAGGTATGCAATTACATATTTTTACAGGCAGGTGGGACAGCCTATCATAATGTTCGAACCAAATGTTTAATTGGACATAATTTTGTTGGCCTGACACTTTCCACAGTATATTAAATCACATATAACGGTGCTTTTACCCTTTTTTGGACTTTTGTTTCAGAACCTGTCTCGTTTGCTCAGTTAGCGCAGTTTATTTGGCATTTTGTTAATCCTGTAATCACACTCGGCTTCGGCCAAATCAGTCGTTTGGAGATCGCATGAATGATGTGATCTCGCCTCGATTGAAACAAACTCTTGATTGTAGTGAGAAAGCAAAATGATTCAACGAACTAATGAATCAGGGTGTATCTTGGCTGCGTAATAGGCATATGGCTATATGAAGAGAGAATGATGAGTAGGGTCGGATGTCGTCATTCCTACTGGCAAATGTGCGTTTCATGTCGAATACAAAAGTGAAAGCATGCTGAAAAATCATCGAGAGCTGTTTATCCGTTAGAAAAATTGACATAAATTACCATCTGAAAACTTCCATATTTTAATCTTATAACATGTTGTGTTAGGCCTATTGTTGCGTTCATTCCTGCACTGACACCTCGAAAGAAAGATCAACATTGATCTGCTTTATCATCTGAATGCAGTGTTGCTTCATCTGTTATTTCTCTCTATATTTTAGCCTATAATGCAGAACTCTAGACAACTTTTTTATTAGATTGATTGATTCAATAGATAGATTTTTACTAAACTTGACAACTGAAATTAAACTCTGTATGAGAAAGTCTTAAGCTGAAAAAAAATATTCAGAGATGATTCCTTGGATTTAATAATTTTTTTTATGTTAAGTGGTTGTAAACAATTTATTTGTGTTGAATTTAAACAAACAAATTAAGTTGAACATTATTAAACTTCATTTGTTTGTTTCAATTCAACACATATAAGTTGTTTGCAATAGTTCTGCATGCAACACTTTTTTTTAGTATACCTATATTAATATAGATTTATATTTAATGATGTTGTCTGTGGGTGTCAAAATTAAAGTGCACCTTTTCGCTTATAATGTCTTCTTGCTTATCATCATAAATTAAAATAACCATGTGACAGCTGAGCAGAATCCGCGGGACTCTGAAAAATAAACCCTGAAACCAATCTGACCGATGCGCATGTGACTTGTTTGAACTAATTTGGTCCATTTAGAAACTCTGCCGTGTGAGAGCAAACAGCACCAAGAACAAAAATAAACATTGTAACAATTTTAATCCCTGTTTCAGAACAAAACAATCGATCATCAGGTGTGAAAGTACCCAAAATACATTAGGACCACTTAATTTAATGCTATCGGGATGTGAAGAGACTTTCAGCCAGTATAACAAAAATACTGTAGTTTCCGATGAAAACTATTGCACCTTTAATATTTGCTGGTAGGGAAAATGTATTCACTTTTGCTATTTATACATGTCATGATCATCAGCGTGCTACAACCGCTAGAGCACAGGTGTCAAACTCAGTTCCAAAAGGGCCGCAGCTCTGCACAGTTTAGTTCCAACCATAATTAAACACACCTGATCAAACTAATTGAGTCCTTCAGGCTTGTTTGAAACCTACAGGTAAGTGTGTTGTAGCAGGGTTGGAACTAAACTGTGCAGGGCTTCGGCCCTCCAGGAATTGAGTTTGATACCCCCGCACTAGAGTTTGCTGGTAAACATTCACATACATAGGACTACAAATCTGCTTGTAAATGGGCTACATATTCAGTCATGCCACACACACACACACACACACACACAAACACACACACACACACACACACAACACACAACACACACACACACACACACACACCTGCTCCAAGTGTCCACTAATTACACTCGCACAGCTGAAGCTGCTCTAGGACTGCTTCATAGACTATAAATACTGCTCAAACGCAAACACTGTTGCTGAGTCTTGTTATACAGTGACACTGTAACGCATTTCCTTTGTCTGCCTTTGGTGTGTTTTGATCCTTTGCCTCATTTATTTGTTTCATCCTGTTTACTGCCTGCCTTATGACAATTTATGCCTGTCTGTTCATTTGACTTCGACTCTGGATTGCCCTCATACATCTGTTTGCCCCTATATTGACCACTGCTTGCCTGACCATTCTAATAAACCTGCATGTGGATTCTCACCTCTGTAGTCAGTGTCACTCCCCGGGTTACACATAGACTTGACATTTTATTTATACTTTAACTGCACAAAAAAGCATACAAAAATACTGATAGTTACAGGTACTTTAGATCAGGAAAGTTTCATTATTGCTGTCGTTGAAATGATTTTAAATTTTGCTACTTGTATAAAATACATATTTAAAGCGAGCTTAAACAACACAACCATTGAGATTTTCTTTAGGTCAACAAAACAGTTTTATGTTCAGTCCACTTAAATTTGTAAAAACAAGTACGTTAATCAATTAATTTGTGTTGTAAAAACATGAAGGAATTGTTTGGAACCCAGCTCTTTTTTTTGCAGTGTGTATAATATTGCAAAACAGCTATCCGGCATGTTGGCTTAAAAAAAAAAAAATCACTCAAGTAATCACTATTAGGAAATATTATTGTTTTGCCCAACAGGAAGGCCTTCCCCCTTAATGTCATGGCTATCACATGAAAGCAATCAATATATGCGCCAACATTGTCATTAATGTGTAAGGGATATGAGCAACTCTAGTTTAAGTAGAGAGAGAAAATCACAGTGATTAGTAGACAGAGAAAAATCTATCTAGTGCACGTGTTTGAGCGCCTGTGTTTTTGGAGTCATGGGCATTGTCTTTTTCTGGTTCTTTGTCTACAGATAACAGCTGTAGATCAGATCTTTGTAAGTCTCAAGGTATTCAGTCGCACTCCAAGCACTGTGGCCCCTGCAGCATAGCGGATCTCCCTCAGGATCCCGTTCCAGCAGTTCTCCTCCTCATCAAACCTGACAAGCAAATCACAAGTTCGGATCTCAACTTTACTTTCAAGTTTCACTGAAGCTGTTGTAGTTTGATCTAAACACTCACTTCCATATGTCGTTCATTTCAGTGGGCTCCAGCTTTTCTGTAGTCTCATTAGGCATCATAGCAAACCCACCGATAGCGTATAAAAAGCCACCAAGTTCAACCAGGTTAAGAGAGCTTCTCTCCTGAGGGAAGTCCACAAACTCTGACCAGCTGAGTAGGGGACACAAGTAAACAAAGTGAGTTAAACTGTCATGTGTGATATACAGTTGAAGTCAGAATTATTAGCCCCCTTTGAATATTTATTATTTTTAAATATATTCCAAATTATGTTAAACAGAGCAAGGAAATTTTCACAGTATGTCTGATAATATTTTTTTCTTCTGGAGAAAGTTTTATTTGTTCTATTTCATCTAGAATAAAAGCAGTTTTAATTTTTTTTATGAACAATTTTAAGGTCAAAATTATTAGCCCCTTTAGCAGTTTTTTTTTTGGGATGGTATACAGAACAAACCATCATTATACAATAATTTGCCTAAACACCCTAACCTGCCTAGTAACCAAATTATCCTAGTTAAGCCTTTAAATGTCACTTTAATCTGTATAGAAGTGTCTTGAAAAATATCTAGTAAAATATGATTTACTGTCATCATGACAAAGATTAAATAAATCAGTTATTAGAAATAAATTATTATTGCTATTATGTTTAGAAATGTGTTGAAAAAAATCTTCTCTCCGTTAAACTGAAATTGAGGGAAAAAATAAACAGGGGGGCTAATAATTCAGGGGCGCTAATAATTCTGACTTCAACTGTATATGTATAATATGATTAGAAGTGTGACTTACGAGTTGCTAGCGATGTCATAGACCTCCACTGTGCTAGTCAGGCCGTTGTCAGTGACTCCAGTCACCACGTAGATTTTGTTTTTGTGAACAGCAGTGCCGAACAGAGAGCGGGCTGTTTTCATAGGTGCCAGATCCTTCCATTCAAACTTCGAGGGGTCGTAGACACACACTCTCCTCAGACATTTCCTGGATCATCATATTTGGTCACTTTATTTTGATGGTCCGTTTGTTGAATTGAAGTTACATTGCATCTGCATGCCAACTAATATTCATTAGATTATAAGTAGACTGTTAGGTTGGGGTTAGTGTAAGCTCACATGTACTTGCAAAGTTTCTTATAGTCAATTAAATGTATGTTGAAGGAACAGTAACAACAGATATTAAGCAGACAGTCTACTAATGGCCCGTTTCCACTAAGAGGTACAGTACGCTACGGTTCCTTTTGGTATGCTTTTATTGCCGTTTCCACTGTCAAAAGGCGTACTAAATCAAACCGTACTGTACCATTTTTTCGGCACCCTTTCAAAAGGGACCAAACACGAGAAAGGGTACCAAAAGGTGGAGCTAGACTCGCAGGTAAATGCTATTGGTTTACAGAGAAACGTCATTCGCTTACGCAACAAGCCAAAATGAAAACAAAAGAGCCGCCATGTTTAAAATACACAGCCGAGAGATTACAGCGGAACTATACATACATATAATAACGAGCCATGGTCGACCCGGGCTCAAAAAAACTTTGTTGTCGTCTTGATGAACAGCAACAGTCCCAAAAAGAAGAGCAGATTTACCTTGTGCCCCGTAGTTTTTTTACAAGGCAGTCTCGCGCGCATCTATATCTGAAATAATAAACTTCTTGAGCTGATGATAATAACGTGCGCTTGATTATTGACGTGCTTTTGAAACCCGATCCTGTCAGACACTGACAAACGCGAGAGTGAAGCACGAAAACACTAAGGAGAAGCCGGAAAAAAGGAGCACATTATTTTTTCAGCAAACGTGAACAAACTGCCATGTTTAACTGTTATCATCACTTTTTGGACCATTATGAACTCGGAATGACGGAATTACTCTCTAACAGAAGCTACATGTGCTGCTGAAGATTAAAGACACAGATGAGAGACTGTGGGCTATATTTTGTGTTGTTTATGAACTTAAATAAGGACTAAATGTATGCTGTGTGTAGTTTTTCTGTAGTTGGTAACATATCAGAGATTGTAAGGGTCTGTATGTGTTCATATATGTTGCATTTATTTATTCATTCATTTTCTTGTCGGCTTAGTCCCTTTATTAATCTGGGGTCGCCACAGCGGAATGAACCACCAACTTATCCAGCAAGTTTTTACGCAGCGGATGCCCTTCCAGCCTCAACCCATCTCTGGGAAACATCCACACACACATTCACACACAAACTCATACACTACGGACAATTTAGCCTACCCAATTCACCTGTACCGCATGTCTTTGGACTGTGGGGGAAACAGGAGCACTCGGAGGAAACCCACGCGAAGGCAGGGAGAACATGCAAACTCCACACAGAAACGCCAACTGAGCTGAGGTTCGAACCAGCGACCCAGCGACCTTCTTGCTGTGAGGCAACAGCACTACTGCGCCACTGCCTCGCCTGCATTTATTTATTTAGTTTATATAACTGCAGGCGTTACAGTAGGCTATTTCGCACTATCGATGATCTGCAGTTATAATCAAATCATGTTGATTGAAAAGTTAGTAATAACAGAAGTGTTTATGTGTATAAAGCATCTGTTTTGTGAGAAGTGCTTCTCATATGATATGTAAGCAACCTGTACAGCTTTACTGTAGACGTTTTCTCGAGTGAAAATGACATTGACTGAAACTTTCTGTCATACACCACGCCCACCAAAAGGGTATCCTTGGTAGTGCAAAAGCAAGCCTGATAAAGTTGACCTGTACCGACCCACACCGTACCGTACTGTACCAGTCAGTGGAAATGAGCCATAATCCTCAAATGGACCATCAAAATAAAATGCTACCTCGTGTTTTATTATGAAAAGCAAGTAAAACAACATGCCATTTTGGCATTGTGAAAAAAAATCAGTTTCTTCACTCACTTGCTCTCAGTTTTCCCACCAATCACGTAGACCAATCCTTTGTGGGAAACGATTCCATGGCCATAAACTGCATAAGGAAGAGGGTCCGACTCTCCCCATTTGAATGACCTGCATGAAAATTAAATGATCAGTAACTGACAGTGGTGGAAAGAGTACTGAAAAATCATATTCAAGTAAAAGTACCTGTGAAAGACTAATGCTTTTATATGCGATTTGTGCTGGTGTGGGTAAACGTAACATTCTGTAGTACATTTAGTTAGACTATCTGCCAATTTTCAGACTGTCTAAACAGTCTCTGGGTCCTTGTGTTTAAAGAAATTTTGCCATCTCTTTGAGCACTTTTTATTGCTTTCAAACAGTTTGCTGCATTTATAAAGCACCCATGTATTGAGGTTGTTCAGTATGATGCAGTTTACTTTCTATGTGCAATTTAATTGGACAGGAATTGCAGGACTGATTTTTCTACTCAGCCAATCAACATAGAGAAGAAAAAATAAAGAAGTGACTGCAGGTGGCATGAAAAGTAGTGGAGTAAAAGTACCAATGTACTCAAGGGAAAGTATAAGTACACATTTTTTAAGCTACTTAGTAAATTACAATTCCTGAGAAAAACGACTCAATTACAGTCATTTGAGTATTTGTAATCTGTTACTTAGCACCACTGGTAATTGAGTCATGTCAAGCTGCATCCTATTGACCAGGGTTTTAATTTATGAGTAAGGGCAATGTAATGATAGTATTTAAGCAATGATTTACTAGGTCAAATATTGATTCAGTAGTGACAGCAGTGAATCGGTAACTTCTGGTCGATAAATACTGCTTATGCAAGCAACATACTGAGAAAAGCAGGAAATAAGGCATCTAAAACACTATGATCATGTCAAATCCTGCCGGCTGAGATACAGCATTTTTTTTTAAGTTTCCCTTAATCGTGTTGCTTATGTGATTTTTTACACACTTTATCCAATCAGAAACAGGCTAATGTGAGATGTTTTTAAAAATACAACAAATATCTCTAAATGATCTCATTGAGTCATTCTGTTAATATATTAATCTATAAATCTGATATATTAATCTATACGTCTAATCCTTGACCTGATTAATGTTTTGAGTGAAATATATAGGCCTTATTCAACAACTAAAATCTAGCTAGCTAACTAGAATAGCTAGCTTCAAAAAAATAGAAATTGACATTTGCTTTTTGAATGCATGAACCTGACACCTGAAATACTATGAAACGCACTGTAAAAAAAGCTTAAGTAACAATATTACATATTTCATAAATTCATTAAGTGATTATTTTGAGGAAGGCATTTATCTGTGAGATTGTGGGTTAATTTGATGCATTTTTCAGTTTTACATTTGGCCCAAGACTGAGTCACACTTTATTTTGATGTTACACTTTAAGTTATATTCAGTGTTGGTCAAGCTACTTGAAAAATGTAGTGAGCTAAGCTATTAGCTACTCTACTTAAAATGTAGCTTGACTACACTAAAAGCTACCCTCTGGGAAGAGTAGCAAGCTAAGCTAAAATCTACATGGCAAAAGTAACTTAGCTACATCTAAGCCATTTTTGCAATTTTTATCTTTAAATGGAAGCAACTTAAATCCAAGTCAATCATATCTTAGAGATTAAAAAAACTGTTTATGAAACATATAAGACATATAGCTCAGTTCAGTTATTTACTGTGAATAATTTGCTGTACCGAACAGAAACAAACTAGTATTTACGAGCAAAAACAAAAATCCAATAAAATCAGGTGTTACACATTTAAAATACTATAGCATAGTAAAGTGAAATATTTAGGAATAATATTGTATATATATTTACAACTCTTTATTGATGAATTACACTACATAATGTAGTATAGTAACGATTATGAACTAATAGTAGTTACCATAGTATACTGTAGGCTTTACTGCAGTAAACTATATAGACCTCCTCTCCCTTAGTCACCTTTCACTCAAGCAAATTTCTCGCGTTAGCCTAATTGGTTGGCAATGTCACTGACCAGAGCGAGAGGTGGCAGTAACACACCAAAAAGTTAGTTGTCGACCACCGAAAAACAGGAAGAAGAAGAAATCGTCATTCTCGTCATCATATGGATTTATTTTCATCGGCTAGACACCGGCCTCACAGCTGCGTGAATGTTGTTGCTGTCACTTATTAAGCCGCGATGTAAAGATATAGCTTGTGTTGATGCTATTGCGCTACTTGACTAAAAAAATAGCTTAGCTACAGAAAAGCTATTTGATTTAGAAAGTAGCAACGCTACTGCCACGCTACTGAAAAATGTAGTTAAGCTAGTAGCGTCACTACTTATAGTGACGCTACTGCCCAACACTAATTACATTGCATCTACACTCTAAGAAATATAGGTACGCAAGCTATCACTGGGGTGGTACCTTTTCAAAAGGCACGCATTTGTACTTAACGGGTCCATATTGATACCTCAAAAGTATATATCAGTAGCTACATTTTTTAATTGGAACATATTTTTAGTTTTTAGGTGTACGAATATGTACCCTTGAGGTATTAATATGGACCTTGTAGGTACAAATTTGTACCTTTTGAAAAGGTACCACCCCAGTGACAGCTTGCGTACCTTTATTTCTGAGAGTGTACATGCCAGCTAATTCTCATTAGATTATAAGTAGACTGTTGGAGTTAGGGTTAGGGTTATTGTAAGTTTACATGTACTTGCTAAGTTTTTTTAGTCAGTTAAATGTCTGTTGAAGGAGCAGTATCAGCAGATATTAAGCAGACAGTCTACTAATACTCAAATGGACCATCAAAATAAAGTGTTACCCAAAACTGTTACTAACAGTCATTTGCAAAATCATCTGTGTGCACTCACTGTCTGTCGTAGATCATAACAGAATCCAGTGCACGCTCTCCCTCCTTCAGCTCTTTTCCTCCCACCACATAGATGGAGTTCTCAGCCTCCACCAGGCCGAACAGACAGCGAGGGTTTGGGAGTGACGGCATCCCTAGCCATTCAGAGCTCATGGGATCAAACTGTGGGATAAAGAAAACTCAAACACATCAATCCTTCCTCATGTTATTTTTTTTTTTTGATTCCTTCAACACAATCCATTGGGAACGTTCGTCATGCATGAGGAAAGTTTGTCACGCTGGCATATTAAAAACATGACTCAAAGCTTTAACAGCTGTCCTGGAGCCAACTGGACCCTCAGGGTTGTTCTCACAGGGGTATTTTAGGAACCACAGATTCATGATCACTGAATCATTCATTTGTAACATATTTAGCAACATTAGCAAGACATGGGGATCTTACCTGAAGAAAGTATGAACTGAAGGGCTGATCTTTGTTCTCCTCGTTGTATCTCAGACCTCCAACGACAAAGATCTGATTTTCCTTCGTCACAAGACTGCAGTGGTTCTTAGGGATCTCTGTGGATGAAGATGCCACAAAGCACTCGTTTGCACCAACATCATACGCAACAGTTCCTGCATCGTTAATCATCAATATAAGGTCCGACTGAAACATCCCAAAACGTGGGTTGTCATTTAGGATCCCTGGCAGCAAACCGTCCTCATCGTCATCGTCAGACTCAAACTCAGCAGACTTCCCTTCCTTCCTGTGTGATGACCTTTTGACCCTGTGAAGCAGTCCTTTCTGTGCATCCTTAATCAACTGGAGTTCCTTCTTGAGCTCCTGATTGGTCCTAATCAATCGGTGCCCCTCGACTTTCTCTTTAAAGTAACTTGTCGGCATGAGACGGAAACGTACACAGTGTAGAAGTTCGGGTAGTTCTTTAGTTCTCTCATCTGTGTCGTACTCCACCCAGTCCATGAGAGATTCAAAGACAGACTCTTCTCGCTCCACATTCAGGGAGTCACATGTGATGATCGCAGCCAACTCACTGGGACCCAACTGATGGAAGTCTTGGTCTCTGATGATCAGGAGATACCGGTCGCAAATGAAGTCCCGTGCCTCCATGGCCAAACGTGGACAGTCCAGCAAGAGTCCCAGCCTGAAGATAGCCAGACAATTACTGAGAACCAGCTTTTGCTGGAGATACGACACACACACGCTAAAGATCGATGGGATCTGATACATGTTGGCCGCCATGAAAATGTCCTGGACGTTCTGCTCTGTTAGGTTGATATCCGAGGTGTAAATGTACCTCAGGATCATTCCCATGACGCCAGGTTCGATGTCCTTTAGAACAATCTCCCGCTTTTTGCTCTCCTCCAGGTCTGACAGGAACATGGCTTTGAAGTATGGGCTGGTAGCGGCCAGCACTAGCCGATGGCAAGGAAACTCTTTGTCCTTAATCTTCAAAATGCAGTCCACAAACTTGTTTGCATCCAGGAGATCACAGAGTCCATCTTGTAGGAGCGTTTGCTGGTACATCCGTGGCTCCGTCACCGGGTCCACTGACATGGAGGCCATCTTGTTATGGATTGAGGTGGTATTCCAGCAGGAGGGAGGGGTGTCCTGGTCCTCTCCCACTACAGAACTGAACTGACTGTATTAACACGAGGACTCTAAAAGAGAACGGGAAGTGGAGGATGTGCCACACTGGTATGGCCTCTATCCTCAGCTGTCTCAAGCTATCAGCTACTGTCTGTCAATCTATATATAGAAATGCGCAAATGAGCCACACTTAGAGCCTGAAATTCAAGCTGTCCCTTCCTTCCCCCCATGCCAAACAGATCACGCCAACAGCTGACAAGTTGCTCACTGGGACTATTAAGTTGTAGATCTTATGGAGAAAGATAGTAGAGTTTTCAAGATGGTTGTGACAACAACTTGATAAGAAAACTATAAAGAGACACAAAAGAAACATCAGATTTGGTTCGCAATGAGATAAAACAGAAGCAGAGCTGCCTGTTGTTTTGGGATTTAAAATGTTCACCTAGTGGAGCCCTCTAGTGGAGGCACATCCCTTCGCATCAACTCATACAAACTAGTAATGCTAACATTGAATAAAAAAAAAACTGCTTTAATTTTATTAGAGAGGGGAATATGCTGCGGCAAGATTTAACCTGCTCAGTGAGCACAACATCAGTTGTTTACAGTGCCAACAGAACATTTTGTACATGTAGTTTTGGCAAGTTTTCCTAATTTGGAAAGTATGAAAAGGAATGGTTAAAACACAAAAAATTGCACTTAAACTCTCTTGATTTTTCTTTTGCATTTTAGTAAACAGATCTTTTTGACAAACTGTAGTGTGAAAAAAATTAATACTCTAAAATATTTTCTTCTTTAAAAAATCTATGCAATGGAAAACATCCATGCCAAAATATGCCAAAATAGAACCTATATATTTTCAATAGTATTTATGGGTGATTCCAGAACTGTGGCTACATCAGATAAACCTTCTATTATTATTCAAAACAATTTACACTACTAAATATTTACACATAATTTAAAAAAAATACAATCTGTGTCTGTCCCTACATTCTAATTCCAACTCATTCAACTCTGTAACATGGGTTATAAAAAGGCACAGTAATCTTTGAAGCAGTAATAGAAAAAAACATGTGACTTGCTCCAAGTGATTTTACTTCCTCTGATGAGAAACTTCATAAGACAATGAGGCATGACATTATTATACTCTCATTAATTTCTTTAAAAAAATATGTAGGACACATTAACATTAGGTTTATTATTTTAACTTTGTTTTTGTGTTATTTCGTACATTTCTCATTCACTTTTTAGAGGTTAGCATCTTAAAAATATATAATATTTAACATTTAAACATTTTGCATGATTTTACATTTAGAATTTTGCAATTCAGTTTACAATTACATATAAATTACACGTTGTATCTAATTCCAGTTTAAGAAAAATGATGTACCTGCAAATCTGGAAAGAGTCATATGAAGACAAGGAAAGTCAAATTTATACTACTTCTTATACTGAAAAAAAATCTCTAAGGAGACTGAAAACTAGGAGGTAATTGTGTGCTGATAACAGCATGGCAGACCCACAGTATTCATCAGCGTATATTTTAAGCCCATTAATCAACTCAAATCTCTAGTGTGGCACTCAAAGCTGGATGTAGGACAAATCCTAATAGGGCAATGTGTTCACACTGTCTCATCTGCGAGAGTGTGATGTGAGTAACAGAAAGTTGAATGTGGAGATGTGACTAAACTGTGTGGTCAGAAATGGTTAAGTAAAATTAACCTGTGTAAAATAAAATGCTAACTAGTTTTAATGGACATTGTAATTATGTTGTTACGTATGGGTTATTATAAAAAGTAAAACAATAAAAAACATACTTAAAGTAATATAAATTAGTATATAACAAAATAAAACATTATAAAGTTAATGCCAAAGCAACATTTCCCATTTAATTTTGTGTAATATGTTACATACTAAAATAAGTTTTAGCAAAAGTAATATAAACACTGTAAAACCCAAAGAGTTAAGGTAACCAAAACCATTTGAGGAAATCGATTGCAACAAACCATTTAAGTTCAAAAACTAATTCTAATGACTACTCAACTGTGAACTCAACTGAGTACTGTAAAACTACACTCATTTCATTTGATAAAGCTGACTGTTGAGTTTTCCTGTGCTTAAATTGCTTTGTTTACTCAAATAGAGTAACCTCACAGTACTCATTAGGATACATTTTTGAACTTTAATGGTTTGTTGCAATCGATTTCCTCAAATGGTTTGTGTTACCTTAACTTTTGGGGTTTTACAGTGCAGTGAAACCCAATAAATGAACAGAACTCAAACCAATTGAGTACTGTAAAACCTAATACGTTTGAGGAAACCGATTGCTACAAACCATTTGAATTGAAAAAACAAATCTGAGTACTGGGAACTTACTCCATTTAAGCTGAAGTAATGAGGTATTTCATTACCTCATTATCTTCAACACAGCATTCAAAACTCTTTTCAAATGAGTAGAATTAACTTTCAGTAAATTTTGAGGTAACTTCACTCATTTTATTTGATAAAGTTGGCTTTTACAGTGTAAAAATAAAAATAAATAAAAGGACAAAACTTATAATTAACTCAACCTTAACATCACATTGAAAACTTAAAACTTCATTGAAACTGAAAAAAAAAATGATTATCAAAATGCAAAAACATTGCTATAACCTTATAAAAAATATGAAGAAAGATGGAAACCAAAGACCACCCTGAAAATGTTGTACATTTTTCTTTTTATTGTTCAATATATTATGTATTCATAAAATATTTGTCAAGCCCATCCTTTAAATAGTCATATCCACTTAAAATATAAATAAAAAATGCACTTGTTGGTTAGTCTGTGCAAGATTATATCGTTGTACAGGTTTGCGTTTGGCTACAGCAAGTGCACTTCAGAACTATTCACAGTTAAAAAACATCTTGTGTTTTTAAAACAGACTTGTGCAAAGCAGTGACCATAGTGACGGCACTGCATCGGTCTGGCATGAAAGCTCAGGGGCAGAATTAACAAGAGGGACCTCAAGAGCTGGATCCGATTCAATGACCTCTCTGTCCTTTACTCGGCCTTGGGTTTGCCAGCCTCTGGGGGCGGCACTGGTTCCGGATCATCCAGCAGAGCCTGCTTTCGCTCTCTCTCCTTTATCAGCTGCACACCACAGTAAGTCACAAACAGCACCGATAGAGTGGACAAGGGGAAGCCTGAGGGAATCACAAGGGTGCTATTATTCTCAGTGTACTCTCCTTGCTTTTCCCCATTCCTTAAGCGGGTTTGCAGTTAATGAACTTTGTTTTACATCGATTCATATGAATGCAAATTATAGGTGATTTTCCTTTACAGTGGAGATCAAATTTAGAGAACAACCTACATTATAAGAAGTAGCCATAAAGGTGTCAGAAAGATTCAAATCAATATGCTGTGTGTTTAATATAACGTAATCGCCCTTGGGGTTACAAAAAAAATCAAAAGACTGATGGCTTTTTATTTGCATGTTGTTTTATCGTAACAATTAACGACTTTTTTTCTTCTTCTGTCAGTTATGGATAAAATATGGTAATTCTAATAGTTTAATAAAATTAATTATATTTTTGAGCAACCCCCTCCCCCTTATTGTGCCCTGACCTCCACTCTGGAAACCATTGCCCTAAAGGTATAATGTCTACCTGTGTGATGTAGAAGTGTACCTTTTGAAAAGGTACCACCCCAGTGACAGATTTTGCAGGTATGAAACATTTAAAAATAATAATAATAATAATAATAATAAGCACCTCTGGCTCGATAATTTGGTGTGATGAAGAAGATGCATTAAGATTAATGTTAAGTTGCTTGTTTCATTGGTGTCTACATCTAAAAGCTGCATGTAAGTGTGTACATGTAAATGTAGACAGGAGGGAGAAGAATTACAGATCAAACAGGATTCGATGGTGAATTTGATTTCACTTCATTTTGTTTCATAGCTTGGTATTTCTGTTATTGTTAAGCACCATCTAACATCAGGGAGTGATTTCGCACATGATTTCTGTTTATCGCTGGTGAAGATCACTAGTATATAGACAGTCTTGGGGAAAGTTACTTTTGAAAGTCATGCATTATTGAATTACTCACCAATAAAGTTACTACTTGCATAACTTAGTAACTTTTTATGGAAAGTAATGCATTACGTTTTTTTTTTGTTGTTGTTACTTTTTCATACCTGCCTGAGGCTTAATCTATTTCAGAACTTGCAGGGTATTTTCCATTTTCCTTTTTTTTTAAATAGAGGAGCGACACACTGTTTAACTTACACCTTAATTTGCCTTTGATAATTTTAGAGAACTTCCTGATGCTATACATGTCATTTATACAAATGAATTAAAGTTAAAAGCACTGTGTTTGCTACTTTTGTATTTTTGTCCTATTAGTTCAGTAATATCACTGTCCATTGAGACTATAATCCTCTTCCACCTGTTCAAAAATAATGAGAATGCTTCCATCATGTAAGGCTCTGCCATCTTAGTTTCTGTCTGTTTCTGCATTCTCTCATTGATTGTTATTCAATGTAATTACACAATTTTTAATTCAGAAATCTATTTTTTAGGTGAATTAATTAACCTAAGAAATTGAGAAAGAAAGAATTGTTGTGAATTAGCGCCCCTAGCAAGATGCCAGACTGAGCAAGATGACTAAATCTGCCACTGGCATTACCCCCAACACTGAATATGAATGCCAAAAAAAACTAAAAAATGCTGATCATCAGCATGAGCATTGTGCGTGAGCCTTGAAGCGGGAGGTGAAATGTCATAGTTTGGGTGATGTTTTCTGCAGCAGGAGTTGGGCGTCTAATGAAGCTGTGAATGCCGATGTTTATTAGAAGCTCCTTTCTCTGTGTTCATCCTACAGTCACCCAACAATAAAAATAATGAAAAGGCCATTCCAGTGTCCTGATTTAAACCTGATTGAACATTTTCAGAAAACCATTGAAGGCGATGTTATGGCTAAGAAACTACAGTCAGTAAATTGTGGAAGAGACTAAAGGAGAGCAGATAAGGTCAAAGCAG